TCTCGCTCTAAAGGTAAAAGATAATCCTTGGGGAAAATCCCACCTGAATGGAATTGCGTTGCTCCTTAATAGTTTAGCAAGTTCGGAATAGGCGGCTCTAAGGTCCAACAGTTGTCTTGGGATATCTTTATATATCTCAATTCTTCTATCCAAAACTTCCAGTGACTTTTCGTAATGTAGGCCCAAAATCTTATCCCTTTCCTCCTTCGATCTCAATGTAATCAAACAATCCCTGGGCCTCTCCTTCTTTATAAATCTTCCAAGTCTGAAAGCTGACACAATTTTAAAGTCCTTTTCTTCCAAATTCCAGAACTTGGAAAGTTCTTTAGTCAAAAACTCAGTTAGATTTCCTTCTTCTGCCTCTTGTAATGATCTAATCCTCAGATTATTCTCACGATTTCGCAGTTCTATCATAGAAAGATAAGTCTGATGTTCCCCAACTTGTTTAGTGAGTGGTCTTACCTCTTGCTCTAAATTTTCCAATTTTTGTCTGGTATCCTCAGCCAATTTTCGGTTTTCTACTGAGGCCTCCGTCAACTGTCCAATTGCTTGTGTATTCTGTCCCACCTGTGTAGTTAATTTGTTTAGACAATCTGTATTTTTATCAATCTTTGCTGATTGCGCATCTACTTTCTTGTCCAAAGCTTCCAATTTTTCAAAGATTTGTCTAGCACAGAAACAGATGCTCCTGAGGCCATATCTTCCAATTGTAACTGCTCTACTTCACCCTCTCCCTCTTTTGCCTGTAGCAAGGCAGCTTCTTCAAGTTGTACTTCTGAGGGCAAAGTAGGCACAGATGATCTACGTGTCTGCGAGGCTGAGGTTAGGTTTGTTAGAGTTGTTTGTCTAACTCTTCCTCTTCTTCTTGTACCACTCATTCCAATGTTATCTATCAGTCAAGGTCACACTGAGTTTTTCCCACAGGAATAGAGAGGCCCAGAGCAAGCAGACAACAAGAGAATCGAAAGTAAATGTATTTATAAAGTCACTGTTTTAATCCAATCCTCTAGAGGGAGCTTAAAATGTCTTTTCAGAGTCTGATTTAATGTCCCAGAACCTTCCAATATAAGTATTAAGCAGAGTTTAAAAGTAATCACTTTGTTGCAGACAGTGCTTATTTGTCTCCAGAAAGAATGTTTCAAATTTAAAAGGTCTCAATACCCTCAAATTGTTGCAACTTCTAATATACAGTATCCAAGTCAAACACTGACAGCCCACTGTTACAGTGCTCAAGCAATCCTGACTCTGGGTTTCACCTTCCAATTTGTAATCCAATAAAAGGGGAAAGTCAAGTGCAAATAAAAGGTCCAAATCTTTAACTTGCTAATTTTACTTTAAATTGTAAGTTCCATAGATGCTTGGCTGTGTAGAGTTTAAAATCTCTTTCTTTCAGCCTCCACTCCTCCACTTTAGTTGCTTTTTTTCCAAGTTCAATGGCAGCGGAAGACGGACTTCCTGTTTCCACGTCTCTCCGCTTTCAGCCAAATTCAAGTCAATTTAAACCTTCTCATTTAAAATTTGTAATTCCAAATGATTCAGTCTTTACTCACGAGTAAGTTGTTTTCTGCCAGATCCGAATTTTAGCAGGAAAAGGGTTCAGCGCTCACCGGCAGCAGCAGCGCGGCTTCACTCCGCTGACTGTGAAACGGCTCACAGCGCCGCAGCCCCCCTCCACGCTCCGGAGCCTCTTACGAGGCTCCTTCTGCAGTTGGAGGGCTGCTCTTGGCGCCCGCCGAGCCTCAGGACCCCAGGCTCTTGCTGCCTGGGGTTTTTCTCCTTGGGTCTCCGCTTCGCCGTAGCGGACGACCCGGTTTCAGCGGAGCTTCTTCTCCGATCGGGAGAAGACCGCCATTACCGTTCGCGCCGCCCCCCGGAAGCCGCTCATCTCGCTTTATTGGCTGAGGGAGCTGGCATACAGCTTCCGGGTCATGTGGCCAGCATGACTAAGCCGCTTCTGGTGAACCAGAGCAGCGCACGGAAACGCTGTTTACCTTCCCGCCGGAGCGGTACCTATTTATCTACTTGCACTTTGACATGCCTTCGAACTGCTAGGTTGGCAGGAGCAGGGACTGAGCAACGGGAGCTCACCCCATCGCGGGGATTCGAACTGCCGACCTTCTGATCAACAAGTCCTAGGCTCTGTGGTTTAACCCACAGCACCACCCGCGTCCCAGAGACATGCATAGGATAGCACTAAATTTCACAAGTCAATTTCCCCCCTGTAATCAGACACTTCCACAGCCAAATGGGAGCACCTTCCCATGGCTATTCGAGCCACGAGAAGATGATGACCAGTGAAAGACTCCACTATGCTGCATAGTGAAGTGGAAGTTGAACAATATCTTTTCAAGCTGCGGTACAAAGCTTGTAGCTGTCCAGGGCATATGCAAAACATCCTGCGCAGATACCCTTGTGGGTCTTAGGCCTTTCCTCCCACAGTACATGGCTATCAAAAGTCTGCACTTAGCAGCTGTTTCAGCACTCAGCAAGCTGGCTGACTTCATGTGAAAATAATGTTGGCTACAGTTCATGCCTTTGAAGCCAATGGGGGCCAGATGACTCTCAGCATGGAAGCAAGGTTTAGGTAAAAGGTAATGGGGTTTAGGCAGCAGCCACAAGACAAACCCAATTACTAGCAGAATTGCTTGCCTGATATGTTGCTCACCCAATAGTGCAAAAACCTCCAGTACATTTAAGTGGTACATCGGAATTGCATCAGCCAACAATTTTGCTCCTCCTCCCAAACAGCTGACGGGTGGGATTTTAGTTTCTTTAAAGGTCTGCAGCCCTAGCTGTTGAATCTGGCTGGGGAATCGTGATCAGAGCAGCAGTTTGTACGTATAGCTACTTTATCCAGTATCCGGGGCAAGCCTTAGACAATTTGCTGTGAGACAGAGCAGCACATGGTGCTTCTCACCCACCACCTCCAAGATAAGGAACACAGTAGCTGAGGTCAGTTCAATAATTTGGGAGTCTGAGGCTGAAAATACCACAAATACCCGCCCCCCTTCTCTCTCCCTAGCAGGAAAAAGAAATCCAAAAACCATAAACTAAAATAGCAGCTGACTGCCCTTTTCATGAAAGCCATCATCAGATACCTGAAGCAGCCATTTAATTCCTGTCCACTGGTAGATGGCCCTGCAAGCAGGCGATATGGACCCTGGCTTCCAGTTGCTTGTGTGGATAAGGCAGCACTGAGGTCTCCGCAGAGGAAGACATGGGGTGAAAAGCACAGGTCTGTTCAGGCATTATGTAATGTAAAACATGAGCAGGGAATGCTTCAAGAGTGCATGAAAGCTCCACACCCCCCATTGCATAGCTGTCAACTTACAGATTTGAAAATAAGGGAGCAGCAGCCTCGAAAATAAGGGATCAGCAGCCAAAATAAGGGATTTTCCCAGCACAGGTATGTTCAACTTCTGAGCCCCTCCAAGCCAAAGGCAGAAAGCCTAGCCAGCAGCCAAACAAAGCCTCAAGCGGTGGTTACCACAGCACAGCAACCTGGCAAAGGGCAAGGAAAACCACCATCACCTCTCCACTGGGAAGCGCTGAGCAAAGGCGAGTCCCCAGGCAACGTGGCCAATTTGATTGGCACAAGGCATGCAAGCTCCACACCCCCCCCCAGTCATACTTAGACTCCTTACTGGGTGAGCAACGCAACCAAGCAACACAGTTGGAGCCTCCTTCCTCCCTGGCCGGCAGGCAGGGAGGGAGAGGAGCTGCTTCCTTTGAAACCCGGGAAATTTAAGGGACATCATCAATAAGGGACAGCAGCGGGACACAGCGCTAGGATGCAGGACTTTCCCGCCAAATAAGGGACGGTTGACAGCTATGCACCATTGCCACGTGTATCAGTCCCGGCATACTCCACGCAGTTGGGGACCTTGCCTTATCAGGGTTTCTGATCCTATGGAGGCCTCTAAGCACATTCAGTGAAATGCACTTAGAAGCTGGCCTTGGTAAGTGGGGGCTGGTGCATGCAGGAATGTTGGGGGCAGGGCTGACCTGTGGGCCCCCAACACCCCCTGCACGTGCTTACATTTCCTGTTCGGACAGAACACCGAAATAGGGCTTACCTGTTACGTACACAGCCTCGACTCCATGTTATTGTTTTAAATGAGAAGCTACTGTGGCAGAGGGAAATTTGGAATGGAGAATGAACTGGGGGAGGGAAGAGGCGCTTAACCCTTTCCTGCCTCCTTTCCCCCCTTGCTTCCAACAATTCCCTGCCCCCAGCTCAACTTCAATTATGCGCTTGCAACACATGACTAAGATGCTGTTGAGGGGAAGGAGGAGGAAGGAAACCATGAGAGTAAATTTGGAGTGGGAAAAATGGGTTAAGTACCCGCTCTGTTCTATACTTCTGTTTTATAAGCAGCTTTTTTGTTTGTTATAGAGAAGGCAATGAGAAAGCTTTCAGCACATGTTTTTGTGTGACATGTAATTAGCCTATTTATTTCTGTTTATTTACAGCAGGAGGGGGGAACCTCAGACCCAAATGCAGCCCCCCCCCCAGCTTCCCTATTTGCTCCTCAAGACTTTCGCAAGACCACATGACCTCTCACAATGCCACACTTCACACCAGCGCCGCTCTGTGCTTCTGCCTGGCTGGATTGTGTCCCTGAACTGCTACAATGCCTCCAGCTTACCTGGATGGAATGAGATGACAGTAGGTGGCTGCTTGTTGAAACGGCTGTGGCTGGAAGGCTGCCCTACTGTGAAGAAAGAAGCACATGCGTTGCTCCATCCACTTTTGCGTCCAGCATATGGTCCCCAGAAGACATCCCATGAGGAAATGTGGCCCCGTCTGATAAAGAAGATTCCCCACCCCTGATTTACAGGAACAAACCAATCAGCTGGACCCTAAATGTTTTAACTTTAAAAAAGAAATTCAACCCTAAATGACCCCCCACCCTATTCTATCTATGGTGTGCTATCTTTACACCAATAATGACAAGCGTAGTGTGGACTTGCACCAAAAAAAAGCCGTATAAGAATTTAATATACATTGCTTTATTGTTTGCCAAAGCAGCTTGTATTCTTAAATATCTCCAACTCCATATTGCTGAGCCTGAAATTCTTGGAAGTCCTCTGGGATAGTATCTAAAAACAAGAAACAGAAGACACATGATTAGTCTTTACTCTTGGTATGAAACTCATGAGCATTTTATTTTCAAAGTTCAGGTTAAGAGCTGGTGCCTGCTTATTACACACAGCTGTAACTTTTTTTTTAGAAGTTCTGTTTTACAGATGGATTAATTAAATATGAGTGTGGTCTCTACAGGGGGGAAAGCACACCGTAAGGCCAGCATTGTGAACTCCTAGACTATTATTACCCATGTTGCATCTGCAGGGGTCAAAATGGTTCAGCTTCTTACATGGCACAAGTCCAGTCCTAAGCAGGAAAATATGCAAACTTTAGCTATCCTCCATTCCTTTCCTAAAGTGCCCTGGGTGCCTTCAGGCAGCAGTGTTCATCCTTATCTCATTCACCCACCTTCCCTGTCCCTGAACAGGACAAGCTTGTAGCTTTTTGCCAGTATGATTCTGCATGGCCAAGATTTCTAGGCACCTTGGCTGTGCATCTGCCAAGCAAATCCCAGGCACCTTCGCATGCAAACTGCCAGGACAAAATCTTACCCGACCTCTGCAATTTCGAAGTTAGAAAGAAGGCAAGTCACTCATCATAGGTGCCAGAGTGTGGCATCACACTCGCCAAGGCAAGCAGAACTGCTCAAGTCTACATGTCTCTCTGCTTAAAGCTGGATTTGTCTCATGCAAGAAGCCACAGAAGTAAGGAAGGATTTACATCCCACTGAATTCAATGGCCTTCCTGCCAAGTAAGACTGCATATTAAGATTGCAGCTTTAACTGTCCATGGCTGTACACTTTTGTTGGTAATCAGCTGAACAGTTTCTATGACTAAGATCTGAACGGCAAAGCCTACACCTGAGGGCTTCTCCATTTATCAATTGTTCCCTATTTTGTGGCCCAAGTAACAGTGGGAATATGACTACCTAAAGGAAATAATGTGAGTCAATGGATGCACCTGTTACTTCTTGATGATGTCCCCCCCCCCCCCCGATTCTTATTTCAATATTTCCAAAATGCTCAGTATTGTGCAAAGATTACTGGTGTTTTTAACATGATTAATTGCACGCTTTTTAGATCTCCAAAGGGTCTTCTGCAAGCAACTGACATTTACACAGCAGTTGAGTTATCAGCTGCACTCACATCTGAGCAGCCCAGAGACCTGCTAAGTCACATTGCAGATTTGGAAAGCATACGCAATGCCTTATCTGGGAAGTCATTCATGCAACCTCCCTAAAACAGCTTTCCTCTTTACAGTTGCTCATTTGATTAGGCAGGAGGAGGATGTGGGGGAAATGTTACCATTGCAGCGATACTTCAGATTGGACCAAATAATGTTTTCCTGAGAGAAGCAGAAAACACCAAGCCTTCCTCCACGCATGGTAGTGTCTATGGTCACTCCAGAATCCGCCACCAGTTCAGAACCTTCGTAAAACCTTGCCCTTTGAAAGTGGAACAAATAAAGATAGATGTATCCTGATTCTCTACACACAGTGGGTTGTTTTCTTTTCTTTTTTAAAGTGAGGTGCTGGTACTCATATACAGAGACAGAGACAGAGACAGAGACAGAGACAGAGAGACAGAGACAGAGACAGAGACAGAGATAGAGATAAAAGTGCTGTGAGTGGCAGCACAAAATGGCTGCCATGGGCAGAAAAAGAGAAAAGGTACTTTGTATTTTTGAGTATTGTTACAAGCACACACACACCTATGAATTCTCATTTTGCAGTTTTACTGGTTTTTATCTTTATTGTAGAGTTACTTATACACCACTTAGAGGTGAAAATAACTAAGTATATAAATTGCCAAAATATGGAAATATCTTTCTTTTTTAAAAAGATAAGAACCTGGAGCTGATTCATGTTATGATATCGTGAAACAAACATGGAAGACTTGCAGCTGGATGTATTAATAAGTTCCTAGTGAAAAGCACCGTGATTGGGGTGAAAAGCCGTATGTTGTGGTTACCAATATGTGTGAACTCAGCCTTAGTTTGATGGTGAAATGAGCTTGCTGAGAGTCTTGCCTGGTAATAATTTCTGACAGCAGGAAGACAACATGCCAGATCTTTTACAACTCATCTCCTTGTCTGTGAGTATAATTCACATTTACATATTTCAGGCAGCAGAAGGGCACTGTTGCTTAAAGCAAAGTAAGAAGAACTTTAATTAAGTGTATATCCCGAATGAAGGCTTGGGGTGGATAGCATGTTCTACATACAATATTTAATAGTTGCAACAGACTATTCAGGTACTGGGCAAAAACTGGAAACCAATAAAATAAAATAAAAAGCAAACCCATTACCATCATTAGAACTACATTTACAGTGGTACCTCGGGTTACAGACGCTTCAGGTTACATACGCTTCAGGTTACAGACTCCGCTAACCCAGAAATAGTGCTTCAGGTTAAGAACTTTGCTTCAGGATGAGAACAGAAATCATGCTCTGGCGGTGCGGCGGCAGCAGGAGGCCCCATTAGCTTAACCTCAGGTTAGGAACAGTTTCAGGTTAAGAACGGACCTCCAGAACGAATTAAGTACTTAACCCGAGGTACCACTGTATACACAAACGTATGGTAGTGTGTATCGTGAAACAGAAGTTTGTTTTTTGCTTTCACATACTGTACAGTCGTACCTTAGAAGTCGAACGGAATCCATTCCGGGAGTCCGTTCAACTACCAAAACGTTAGGAAACCAAAGCACTGCTTCTAATTGGCTGCAGGAAGCTCCTGCAGCCAATCAGAAGCCCAGTTGGACGTTCGGCTTCCAAAAATAGTACACAAACCAGAACAGAACCTCCGGGTTTGTGGCGTTCGAGAACTAAGCTGTTCGAAAACCAAGGTACGACAGTATTGCATTTTTAAGTATACACATAGACCACAATAGATGTTCACTAAGAATTGCATTGTATCCTGCTTTGCCCATCGCCTTACCTAATATACCCAACCTGAGGTCTGTGCTGCAAGAACCAGCGATAGGAAACTTTATCCTTCCAGCCTACATTTCGAGGGTCTTTCCAAAGCAGTCTGACTTGATCATTAGTGTCCCCTGTGTGCCAAAGTGAATTCCTGAGGTGTTCTCCAGGCCCAGTTTTTGATTTAACAGCCTACACAGAACACAAGTACAAAGACAAGTCAAAAATAAGAAATCTCCTTTAATAACAATAACATTTCTCCGAGTATTATGAGAAAAACCAGAAGTTTTAATTCTTTTCCTATTCTGTAATGGAACCAGGCACACACATCCAAATAAACGAACGTTAGAAACCACATCATACAAACGCCCTGCCAGTTCCATCTTAGTGCAACGCTAGATGACAGCATTAATGAGATTTGGGTCATTTTGGCTCAAGCCTGTACCTTCAGCTGAATCCCAGGTTCTGCAACAGCTCTAAACGGAGTTGCCTGCCAATAGGTCTGCTCAGTCTGTTTCCACATCACCACATAAAAGCTGGAGCTGTCTTGATAACCAAAAATGAAGCCGGCGTAGTCATCATCCGTTGCCGTGTTGACAAAGAAAGTGCCTTCAAAATCAACTCCGTTGAAAGCTGTGTAACCTGTTCGAATGTATAGGTATACACATCAAGTCCAAACCAATTATAAGTGTAAAATTCAATACATGTTCTTCCTTTAGATGCAAAAGGTCCAATCCACTGCTCCAGACCCCAGGCCTGCAGTTAGCCAGAAATGCTGGAGGATTTTATCTGGGATTTAATGCTTCTAGCACTAGGCTATAGACCAAAGCATCCTGAAGCTGGATGAAGGCTGCACACTGGGGATCACTATAGGCATCTTTTGAGCAAATAGTTTTAATCCATTTCTGCTTGTGAGCTGCTGTGTGAGTGTCTACAAAAAAAAATAACTCACATACCTACAGCAAGTCCAGGATCACTATTCATGGTCTGCACAATCTCCATGCCCTATGAAACATAAGCAATATAATTCATGAAGCTAGTCTAAGGATGTTTTATTAAGTCATGCCCAAGATGATGGATAAAGACCACTTTCATTATCAATGCTCATCCATGTGTCACCTTGTGAGTCCAGCACATTTATGTTCTTTGCCAAAAATATCCAGATTGTTTTCCTCCAATAAGTACCCTCCCGCAACCCCCCCCACAACCACATTTCAACATTAACACCCTTATTCTTCCAAGTTTTGAGAGAAATCTTTGTTGCTTTTTCCTGCCTATCATTCCTGGACGCTTTTAGATATTAAAAAATGTTTTACCTGGTTCAGAACCACCCAGTTAGGGTCAATCTGAGCATCCCCTTCTGGATCCAGGACGACAGTCTGATAAGCCCTGAAATCTGTCAGGGTGATCTCTGCATTCTCGGGACAAACGTCAATCCTATCTATCACTGTGTCTTGATCAAAATCTGATTCACAGATATCACCAACTCCATCACCTGGACACATGAACACAACACCCAAAGGATGTGATTTGATAGCTGTTTTCACAAAACAGCTGTTTCAGCAGCAGTTAACAGGGGGAAACAAATACTTATGTTCATTTGCCAAGCTCATAGATAGGCAGGAATTGCATCAGGCCCAATTTCTAATTGCCTTTAACAGTGAAAGGGAGGAGGGGTGGAGCAACCCTAGTAATGGCCAGGTACCAAGAGATAAAACCAAAGAGAAGCATTTGAGTGATGTGTAAGCAATCCTGAGGACTGAATTAAACAGAGTTGTACATCATGTTAGGAGACTCTGGTTGAAGTCAGATTATGAACTGAATCCATTTCAGGTTTCATTAACTACTATAAAGCAGGTAGGGCAGCCATTTGGACACCACCTGGTGAAAATAGGTGAGAAGCAGCAGCTGCCTTGCTATGAAGTGAACAAAGCAAAGGTGTAGCAGCTGGTGAATCACTGCCCTGGTACTTCAGACCAGAAGCACAGGAAGAGCCTGTGTTCCCTTTGGGTTACACTTGAAGTGCATACTGATGTATAAAATGTGGGTTCTAACCATGTTTGTGGATAAAATCGGGGAACTGTGGTTACTCTGAATGAATCACCCAAAAATAAACGGGTGCAATTTATACCCATTTATACAATTACAAGGGGATGCGGGTGGCACTGTGGGTTAAACCACAGAGCCTAGGGCTTGCTGATCAGAAGGTCGGTGGTTCAAATCCCCGCGACGGGGTGAGCTCCCGTTGCTCGGTCCCTGCTCCTGCCCACCTAGCAGTTCGAAAGCACATCAAAGTGCAAGTAGATAAATAGGTACCACTCTGGTGGGAAGGTAAACGCCGTTTCTGTGTGCTGCTCTGGTTCGCCAGAAGCAGCTTAGTCATGCTGGCCACATGACCTGGAAGCTGTACCCCGGCTCCCTCAGCCAATAAAGCGAGATGAGCGCCGCAACCCCAGAGTTGGTCATGACTGGACCTAATGGTCAGGGGTCCCTTTACCTTTATACAATTACAAGTGTTGTTTGGTCTTTACATCTTAATTTTATTGGGCTTCATTAAGAGCATGTAGCCTTGACTTAATGTGCTTCATACCAAACCTTACCACCACTGCCCTCTCATGGCCTTTTGTAACCTGAATGAAATTTTTCACACTTGTGGTAGAGTCTGGTTTGACAGACAGACCTCTGCTCTGCAAAAGAACCTGAGATACACAGGACTGTCTGCACAAGAGGAAAACTTTCTGCTCCTACTATGGATAAAATGGCCCTTGCGCCTTATAATCATCCATTATATTCAATTCTATTCAATACAAGTTTATTGTTCCAGTCAATAAAGCTCAATAAAGGCATTTCTTAAGGAAGCTGGTAAGAGCCTGGTCACATAACTAGCTCTGAAATGCTCTGTTTTCAAGAGTGGATACCAAGAGGGAAATGTGGTGTTTCTAATTAGTTGTAGGTCCCTTCTGGATTCGATCCAGAAGAGCCAATCCCTTGGTTGACACTTATTCAAGGTCAAAGCAAAGCTCAGTTCTGGAAAATATAGGTTCCTTATGATCAAAGGAAATCATCAGCTTCCTTTGAGGATTAGAAGGCACCATATCGTCACCATATGTTGTGCATTAAAAAGAAAACTGAGGTAAAAAGAGAAAGAATAAGAAATGTCTGCCATACTGTTGTCATCTTCTTGTCCTGGATTAGGAACAAGCCGGCAATTATCTGGGCCTGGAGGAACAAGGTCTGGAATTCCATCATTGTCGTCGTCATCATCACACTCATCCCCCAGCCCATCCTTATCGGTGTCTAGTTGGGAACTGTTAATGACTGTGGGACAGTTGTCGGTGCTGTCTTGGTGTCCATCCCCATCGCTGGGAGTAAAGAAGGGGGTAAAAGCAAAAACACCCTGTGTTAGTTCCTATTTCTATCTTTCTAAGTAATAGGAGTGTTGGCTACTACTTCTTGTACTACCGACAAGGAATGCTTGTTTGTTTTCCTGTATCCATTGTTACACTGGAAGGCCTCTAATGAAGGTTTGTTGTGACAGTTAGTACTAGGAGACAAAACCACCTTATTTGAGGAAACAATTGGAGATATTCACATGATCTCAGGGAACTTCTTGAATCTTCTCTAACCAGAATATATCTGAGGTTACTACAAGCTGGAACTAGACATGAAGGGAAACACTGATGTTTATTCCTGTCCTAACACTGGTAAACACTCAGCAGCCTAAATTGAGGTCTTTAGCCATAAGGGAAGTAATTCCCGCAGTTAGGTTTATAATGACTACCATCCTTGATGTATTACTGAGAATGGAGGGATCCAGCAAATGATTTCAACCCTTCTGACAATATTTGCTTATTTTACTTGTATGAAGTAAAGCCCAAATGGTCTTTTGCTGTATTTGTTTCCATGCACTTTTGGCACACAAAACCCTGTTTTCTATACACCATCATGCAGTTGTTATTGAAATGAGCTTTATTGCTCTTCTGCTTTAAATAACGGCATTAATTTAAAAAGGAATAGCTAGGGGGTGAGCCTTGCAGTGCTGGGGGTGGCTAACTCTTTCTCCTATGCTATTTTCTCAAAGGACATCCTCACACCTCTCTATTCCATAGCTGGGCAAATAGTAACTTGGGGAGGTGAACTGGTTATGAGACAGTTTAATCACTATCTGCCTCAGCCTGTGAGGGTGCTTTTAACATATATGAAAAGAGATGATTTGTGGAAATAGATTGTAAATCTGCATTGGTTCCAATAATGAGTACAGTGTATTGAAAATAATTTAAGCTAAACTTTTACCTTGGTAGAGACATAGGTGCAATTTCAGTGAAATTAGTGGATGGAATCCAACAAAGTGAATGTTTCATCATTTCAAGGATATCTGCTTGTGCAGGGGAATGTTTCCCCCCTGACACATGCCCCCTACATCAGGAGCAGATTGAGAGAGGGTGCAGGCATGTCCCATTACACAAGAATAAAAATTTGCAGTGATGGGGCAGGTTAGTTAAATACCTCCCAGCAGCATCATAACAAGGATGAATTTGATTCTGATTAAAATTTACCCTACCTGTCTTGATTGGTGTCACAGGAATCTCCTACCAGATCATTATCAATATCTGACTGTAAACAGAAATAGAACAAGATTAAATTACTAAATTGCAGAGAGGGGAAAATATAAAATTACATTGCTGGAAGTCATTAAAATTCAACACACATCTTTCAATAATCTGTATTAGCAGGGGATTAATATCTGAAAAGGTGGAAAGATGGATTGGATCCCAGGTGTGCATACAATTCTGTATTCTATAGGCACAGATTATTTATCCTTCGAGAGATCCCCCTGCATAAAATCCTTTTCAGTTTCTTTGTTTGCTTGCTTTTGCAATTAAAGAAGATTGACATTTAATCCCTATGGCTATTTATTCAGTGAGAACATTTATTGGCATTGGGCTTTATCTCAGTGATTTGCACAAATGAGGGCTCAGGAGTGAAGAACATGTTTTGAAAGGAGGAAGTCCCATGTTCGATCTGACACCTTCAAATAATGGCTGTCAGGTACAGAACTGGGAAAAAGCCACTTCCAGAGATTCTTAGACACCTGCTACCAGTCAGGCTGAGGTAGCAAACCTTTTGGGTTTTCTGGACACCTTTATGCATGGATTGATTAAATGTCAGATCAAGACTTGTGTCATACAGGAAAACAATAACTACAGCATTACCGTAGTCATCATAGTTCATACTAAAGTTTAACAGAGCTGTACTTTTCTTTCTAAATATTTACTGCCACAATGGAACTGGAACACCACACTTGAAATTTTCATAATCTTAAATTGACAGTTCCATTTTTGCTTCCACTAATAACCAAATACTTTGATTCCCCATCCTGGTGCCATGCAGATGTTGTTGGACCCCAGCTCCCATTCACCCCAGTCAGCAAGGCCAATAGCCAAGGATGATGGGAATCATAGTCTAAAATTATCTGGAGGGTCACAGGTTGCCTACTCTGGCCTATGGCTTTTTTTCCTGCTGTTGCTCACCTGATTTGGGTTGCTAATATCTGGGCAGCTGTCACAAGCATCACCCACACCATCATTATCTCTGTCTTTCTGTTCCCGATTGGGGACCCTCTGACAGTTGTCCAAAACGTTCTTAATACCTGAATGAAACGATGACACAAAATCAATGTTGGCTTTGCATCACTCTAGCAACTCATAAGGCCAGAAACAAAGAGTCAGCGTGGCATAATGGATAGCAGATGAGATGTGGACCAAGGAAGACCTTGTTGCAAATTGCTACTTGGCCATTAGATTTACTGGCAATTCTTGGGCTTGTTGGGATCTCTGTGCCTAATCTGCCTCAAAGGTATTGCCTGAGGATGAAATGGGATAGTCCCACATATAATTCTGAGCTCTTTGGAAAAGAGGAAGGATACAAAACAACAGTACAGTGGTACCTCGGGTTACATACGCTTCAGGTTACATACGCTTCAGGTTACAGACTCTGCTAACCCAGAAATAGTACCTCGGGTTAAGAACTTTGCTTCAGGATGAGAATAGAAATCGTGCTCTGGCGGCACGGCAGCAGCAGGAGGCCCCATTAGCTAAAGTGGTGCCTCAGGTTAAGAACAGTTTCAGGTTAAGTACGGACCTCCAGAACGAATTAAGTACTTAACCTGAGGTACCACTGTAGTAATGAGGATTGCGGAGAAGTTGTTTTTTTAAAAAAAAGTTTACTAGAACAGGGTTGGGTTTAGATACAATGTCTATGTATATGGGGTCATGTAAAGGGTTAAATTTGATGTCCTAGATATCTGTTGGTGACTGACAGTTGGCTTTTATTTACTTACATAAGACTGGGGGGAGGGACTAGATTCTTAAGGAGAGTATTGTAAAATTGCAGTTCTGAGTGGCTGGCTAGGTAGAAATTTTTGGTAAATCACTCAATGGCAAAAATGGCCTGATAAGGGGAAGACTTATATGCCACTCAAATCTGATGTGTTGAAGGACAGCGTGGCTGGAAGATAAATAGGCCTATTCTACTACTGTTGAGAGAGAGAGAAAGAAGAGCAAATAGATGAAGAAGAGGAAGACAAGAATGAAGAAGATGACTTAGGATGAGACTAGCTGAGAATAAGCTGAGGGAGAAAGCTGAAGTCTAGACTGGAGCTGAAGCAAGATGGAAAAGAGGTTATCGAGGCGAAAGAAAAGCCTGGTAGTATAATTTGCCCCCAAAGAGCTGAATCACTGGCTTAAGCCAAAGATTGGCCATGTGGCCATACAAGGGCACTGAACAGTAAGGAGAATTCAGCAAGGAGCTTCTGAAGATGATCAGAATGAGATCTGCCTGCTAGCCTGGCTTGAAGGAAACCAGGTGAAGCCCACAGTACCTGGCGGTGGGATCGACTGAGTAATTGCCATATAGGTTAAATAGTGCTAGGAACTTCTCTTTACCAGCCAGCCTTATGTAAACCTCTGTAACTGTTAAAGATACAGCAACCTTACAACAGAAAACGTAAGCCAGTCTTAAACAGTAACCAGCTAGTGTTACTGTTACTTTATATGTATAGGGTTTTTTTAATTAAAAAAATATACAAATGATATCTTGCTACTTTTATTTAATGATGTGTGTATGGCTGCTTTTGTACCACATCTAAAATACCACAGCTTCTGGGTTATATAGTTACGGGCTATAGCCAAACCTAGTTAACAGTATAGTACAGATATTTGGTTGCAGTGGTTGCAGGTAAATCGGCTGTGGTAAATAAAAGCTCACTCTCCACATATAAAAAGAAAAGATGAACTCACCACAAAGATCACAATTGTCACAATGACATTAAATAGGCCAGGAGCCGAAGAGGGCTTTGTTAATTGTCATTTGTGACTACAGGACCTCATGATGTTGTTGCTGCCTCCTAGCCTTCAGAAGCAGCTCTTTGGGGTGCTGAGAGCTGTGTTGAGTAAGTGGGGCCTAAAATGTGCTACAGCTGCTTAAAAAGTCAATGCTGAAAATGCAAGCTTTGATGCTAGGTGCCTCCTGTGCCAGTTTCAAGTGCAGAACAGAGAGGGTATCTAACAGGCGAAGATGTACTCACCATCTCCATCCATGTCATCATCACAGGCATCACCTTTGCCATCTCCGTCCGTGTCTCGCTGGTCATTGTTTAAGACCATACGGCAATTGTCACAAGCATCACCAAAGATATCTTGGTCGCTGTTTCTCTGATTAACGTTAGAAGCTAGTACACAGTTGTCCTGAAACAGAGAAAGGCAAAGTGCTCTGGGCTACAGTCTCACTGGAGCAGGATCACTCATCATCATCACTCTCTGCTGACTTTGGTTTTGCAAGTGATGAATTTGCAGATGAATTCAGCTCAGTGGGTTCACACAGGGAATCTCCTTTTGAAACTTTGTTGTTGATGATGATGCCTGGCAACTCTTACAAGGTCTGCTATACCATGTCCTGGGAGACTGAAATGCTCCCCCATCGATATCTGTTACCGTTCTATATGTCTAATCGAGTCCTGCATACAGATAGACCTGTTTGATCTAAGTAAATAATCAATAAACACACAAGACGTAACCAGCTGTACTTTTGAATAAATAAGGTATACTATTCATTGCATCAAATTGTAGATTTCAATGGAAGTCTCATAAAGTTCAACGAAAACAGCAGAAGACCATTACTATGCTGTAAGATCCACTATCCTGTAATATTACATATGAGCCTGTTCTACTGATGAAGCCTAGGATGGCGAAACAAGGCTAATATTCCGGAAACCCTTGTCTTAAACTCTGTGAAAGGATTCTGTGGAACTGTAACAACCCTTCATGTGGATTATTGGACTCTTTGAACAGACAGGTGGAATAGATACTATTACATGTATGGACCTTATGCATGAACTGACTAGAGAATGAACTGATCCACTGGGTCTTCTGCTTTTTTCGTTGAACTTTATGAGACTTCTGTTGAAATATACAATTTAATACAATGAATATTTATTCAAAAGTACAGCCAGTTACATCTTGTGTGTTTATTGAGTATGTTTCACGTAACCATAGGTTGCTTGTTGTGTTGATCTAAGTAAATGGCAAAAGGCCATTGATGCACTAGAGGCTGTGCAGGGGCTTGATATAAAGACTGAAGCTTACAATCCTGCTGCTTGAGTATGGGAGGGATGTAAATTACACAGTTAAATAATATCTATAACCAGTACCTGATCATTTGGAATACCATCACCATCGGCATCATCATCACAGGCATCTCCTATTCCATCTCCATCAGCATCTTCTTGTCCAGAGTTTGGAACCACCTTGCAATTGTCCTATGGGGGAAAAACAAGGTGGTGATCTAGAACCCATGCTTTTGATCATGGGTTGCAAGCTGTGGGCATATTTGCAAACTGCCAAAACTATTATGGGCATCATGATGAAGCCATACACCTGCATGCACATTCATTTAACCCCTCCCCACCAGCATTTAAAGCTTGAAGAAGTGTTTTTGCTTTTGGAAAAACCTAGTTGACAAGTGACCATCCTGGAAAGAGCAGCTGGGGAGGGAAGAGTTAATTTCTCCAAGCCTAATTTCATAAGCGGAAGAGTGCAGGTGTCATAGAAGACCATGTGTGTCCATAGGCAATATGTTGCTGACTCATGTTTGCTCTGTTTCTCACCCTCCTGTGCACTTCCCTGTGCTGGGATTTAAAATGAAGAAGACTTGAGAGATAAGGTGCCTGCCCTCTTAGATCTTACCTTTCTGCAACTCTCAGCTGAGCATGAAAGTTCTTCATCAGGATAGCCATCAATATCGATATCTTTTCCGCACACAAAGCCATCGCCAGCCCAGCCAATACCACACTGTGAGCAAAAGTATTACAAAATAAAGCCAGGCTGAGGAAGTCATTCTACAAACATACGCAGTGCTGTTAATTAATTATCTTAATCTTATAATTAATTAATTATCTTAATCTTATGATTAAGATGTCCTGCTTAGAGCGTATTGTCAAATTAATTGCATTTTTTAATATATATATTGAGAACTATGGCTCACCCCAAAAGGATAGCACAATACATTTTTAAAATTGAATTAATTAATTACAGAACATGGTTTTACTGAAGAATGTCAAAATAGGATTTGCTGCTCTGGGATCAAATGAAAACAAATCTGTGAGGTCATCAACTTACAATACATGAGATGTCTCCTTGCCGTACTTCAGCACACTGTGCATGGATACTGCAAGGGTTCAGAGCTTGATTCCTGCAGCTCCTTTCAGGCCTGCATCCCCTGACCTGGTCTCCAGTAAAACCTGGTTTGCATGTCCCACAGCGGAACGAGCCCTTTGATGGAAGCAAACAAGCATATAAGCCAGTCAGGCACTGTTTTTGTGAATGGTCCATGCACGTATTGTAGGAGGAACAATTTTAAAAAAGGTATTCTTTCCTCTGAGAGAGAGAATGTTTTAACACATCTACACTTCTTTATTTTCCTTTTTTTAAAAATGTAGTGTTTTAATAGACCCCCTTTAAAAAAAGGTATTAAAAATAATGCATATTTTAAAAGATTTGCCGCCTGATTAATTGAAGGTAACTTTTTAATCCTTCCACAAAATGTAAATTGGTGGATCTAAACAATTAATTGATTAAAGTGTCTTTCTGTTTGTTGCTTCAAGATAAGAAAACTTTCTCACAACAGTGGTGTCACTGATTTGTTTAATTTTGGAAGCCAAGCACAGGGAGTCTATTCCAATATGCTGTATACTGCCTTGATATATTTTTTTATAAATGTGTGGGTTATAAATACTTAATGAATAAACCTGTGGTTAAGAAGAGAGGGAGAAATTTACACTGGGGCGGGGGGGGGGGGGAGGGACCACGTAATACCCATGGTCCACTTTGAGTTTCTTGAGGTTCCAAAAGGCACTTCATTAAAGTCTGCACAGATATTTGAAATCTCTTACTGAGAACTTTATGCAAAAAAAAGGTAAACTCAGACCTAGTATTACACCCACCAAGGCCCATCCTTGGGCACTTGAAAGACATGTGGCAGAGCACATTGTTAGCTCCCAGAAGATGCTGAGGCCAATCCCTAGCATCTCCCAGGGGGAAAGACCCAGTAGCAGGTGCTGAAAATGCTGAGGAGCTACTAGCTGTCAGAATAACCAATATCAGGCTGGATGGACAAAGAATCTGAGCTCATACAAGGCAGTTTCCTATGTCTCTCTTGGTTTGCACAGGGAAACTGTTTTTCTTGTTAATGTATCTGATTAGTATAATATGTCTTTCTTGTTGCAACCACATGAATTGGAATTCCCTTCTTCACAGATGGCAGAAGAGGAACACACTGGATAACGTCGTTAAGTGGAAGGGGACCAGAACGGGATTACATAACTATCTGCTGGCTTCACACAATCGTTATGTGGTTGGCATTTAAGTGAATGTTGTGCCACTGAATTTATAATCACTTGACGGTGGTTTGTGTGAACTGTCCCCTTGTTTTGGGACAGCTCCTCAAACATGCAGAATGACAATCTGACATAACCATGTACTTACCACAGTGTTTACACACTGGGAATTGGGAACACAGCCCCCGTTTCCATTGTTCTGACATTCATCTACGTCCAAGCAGATCTAACACAATAAAAACAAAAACAAGTTAGGTACAGTGAGTCAGTTATTAAAGCATAAAATAACTAGCATAAATCTGTTAAAATTTATTGGTTTGTTTTTTTAATATGGTGTTAATGCAATTGTGAAATAGTCTAAAAAGAACAGCAAAAGGTCCTTTGAGTAGTAGATAGGTCAACTAATCTCTGCTGTAGCTGCTGAGCTGGTGTAATGGAAAACATTCCATTTTAGAAGTTCGATAGTAACAATGAATGGATACCAGTTGCAAAGACAATATTTGGCATGTTTGGCAGTTTCAAGTAAAATAAGTGTGCTAAAGTAGGTCCTGCTCTATGGCAAGTTTTCTAATGCAAACTGAAAAATTTCCAGTGCAAATCATGGGAATCTTTTTCCAGAAAAGCCACAGCTCTGTCCACGAATAAACCTATTAATACTGCCTTTAGTTAGGCCAGCATTATTTTGCCATACATTCGGAAGCAGCGCAGACATTTTTACAGACATATCTGTTAAGATCTTTAAGAGAAATACATTCAGCTGTGCAGTGCACCCATAAACAGATACAGAGCTAGACTTTTACTAGCTTTTGATGGATTGCAATGAGATCACACACCTGTTTGTTATTTTTGGCAGAGTTGATTCCCACTCCTTGAATGATTTGCCCACTGTATCCTGATGGGCAGGCCTCACATCTGAAACCTGGAGCTGTATTCACACATCTCACCCCTGGGAAGCATGGATTATACCGGCACTAAAAGGCAAACCAGCAAAGTGATTCAATGTACTAATTATATAGGTTTCAGCCAGCAAAGTTAAGAGTCCATTTGGACATTTGCTGGAAGCCTATGTTCCAACAAATACTTCTTACACTGGAGTAGGCAAGCTTTTTTCTCTAGAGGGTTAACGTAACCTCACAAGAAATGGGCATGGGACAGAATGAGCAGTGGGTAGGAGTTATAATAATAGTAATTTATAGTAAGAGCAGTCATGGCTTTAGTAAACATAGTGTGTTTCCTCTACCTTTTCCCCTACTTCTTTATCATCTTTTTCTCCTGCCCCCGCACCCTTGTCTCTCTCTTACTCTTGCAATGGAGATAGAACAAGGAAGGAAAGGGACATAAGCCAAATAGCCCCCCAGGCCATGTTAAACCAGCCTGAGGGCTGCATGTGGTCCCTGCACCACAGGTTGCCCACTCGTTTTCTAACGTAATACCAAGAGAAAGGGGACTCACTCTGAGCACCAGGAATTTATTTACCCTTGATCATCAATTGATGAGACATCTTGGATTTTTCTAGATCCAGAATTCATAGGCTGAACCTCTCCTTTCTCACATGGGTGCTTTTAAATAACATTTTACCTCATCAACATCTGTGCATATAACTCCATTTCCAGTGAAGCCTTCAGGACAAGGCCCACACTGAAATCCATCTGCCGTGTCCATGCATCGCACCCCTCGGAAACAAGTGTTGGCTTCACATTTGGGCTTAGGGGGCGGTGGGGATGGTGTGGGGAAATTTCCAGCTCCCAAACCTGTGATTGGAGGTAGAGCAATTTATTTATTTTTTTAGTAATCAGCTGCTGATCAGTAAATCCTGAGGTAAATGCTGAACATTTGCACCACGCATAGCAGTGGATCAATCCTCTGGTTGGGTTGGATATCTTCTGAGATAATTGTGTATCTATTTTGCTTCTAGCACACACTACAGTAACCACCACGACCAGCTACCATTGTTGGCTCCAGATTCGGTGAAGACCTTGGTGCAGGCTGTGTGCAGTGAGTGTGTCGCCAGTGCCCAACTCCCTCCAAGTGCAATCTGACCGGAAGGAGCCTGCAAACCAAGTGAAAGTTGCCAATCCTCTTTGCTCTTGCCACTGCTCTTATGCTTAGAGAGGCCAGATAAGCAAGCGGCAATAGCAAGGGAATGAGGAAAAGGGCTATAGGGATCTGGGGGTCACACCATCTGTGGTGCTGGCCCCATCAGGCGCTCAACAATACTGACTTTTGATGCCAGCCCTGCCTGTCCAGGGGTGGGGGTATACACGTGTGTTTGTCTCACAACAATGCACAAAAAATCAAGGCACATTCTACATGAAAGTAATAACTGTGTAAGGAATCTGAAAAGTGTGGCTCTGAATTCTGCATGGGACAAGTCATTTCAAGGTTGTCTTCATGACTTCTCTTGTTTTCTGTTTAAGAGCAAATGGGCTGATAGTTTTGCAGCACCCCAGAACCAAAAAAAAAGTATGAAAGGCTAACAAATTTACTATGGCATGATTCCATTCCTGTGGAATAAATTCCATGAAATCTTATGCCGTAATAAATTTTAATGTTCAAAGGTGCCGAAATACTATTTGTTGTTTGTGCTGACAGGTATGTCCTCTGTTGAGACATGCAGAAAACAAAACTACCTAGAACTGGGTTATTTTCTGTTTGGTGTTCAGGCAATCAGTATATTCAAAAGAATATGAAGAATATGAATATGAATATGAAGAATACTCTCAATCATTTAAGCTCCAGTTCTATGCACAATTACCTGGGGGTAAGCCTCACTGAATGGTTGGTTGACAAATCTGTCTGTCTCGGGAGACAATGGAGGAGTGCTACTGTGGCAACTATTTCTGAGTAAGCATGCATAGAACGGGATGGTATATTGTTTTAATCTTGCCAATCAGTCAGTTAAAAACTCAACTATTGAGTCCCACCAGCAGAAGCTCTGCACAAGGACTTCCACTTGTTCAGCAAGGCTTTCCCCCCATGATACCATGATATTAGCTCAGGGGGGAATAAGGAGAACCCCTGGAAAAGTGGGGGGGGGGTGTAGGAGAGCCAAAATGCTAGCCCTGATGGAACAAACACCTAAGCATGTTGAATTTCCTCCTATGTCTACTTGGAACTCCTACGAAATTCAGTAGACCTTACTTCAAAGGAAGTGTTCACAATTGGTGTGGCTAAGGACAACAAATATTGCTTTTTCGGTTTGATGATTTGGTTTATACCATCATATCTTAAATCAGGAAATACAAAAGTGCTTACCACATGCTTGACATTCAGCTATTGTGTTCCTCAAAAATGTTGTTTCTTTAACCTTTGAATTATATAAAATAAATACAATCATCGGGCTTGTTTTTCTTGAATTGCCACCAGAAAAACCAGACAATGCACATTATACAACCTATCCAATAATACTGCCTAATTTTTCAAAACAGTTACTTGGTACTGTTTTTGGCATAATTGTCCATACTGGACCTTATGACAAGTCATCTCCATGTAAACAGTTATGATTTCATATTTTAACCTCCTGCTATCTTTAGCTGAACTACTTAGAGCAGATAGTGCTCACCGCAGCTCAAAAATCCCATCGGCCTTCAAACAAAAATAATAATGCAAGGCTTAAACTTTAATTGGGCTTTAAATGTTTTTGGAGTGAACTGTAGACACATGCCTGAGCTCAGCCTTGCCTCATTTGCCGTATTTTTCACTCTATAAGACGCACCAGACCACAAGACGCACCTAGTTTTTGGAGGAGGAAAACAAGAAAAAAAAATCTGAATCTCAGAAGCCAGAACAGCAAGAGGGATCACTGCGCAGTGAAAGCAGCAATCCCTCTTGCTGTTCTGGCTTCTGGGATAGCTGTGCAGCCTGCATTCGCTCCATAAGATGCACACACATTTCCCCTTACTTTTTAGGAGGGAAAAAGTGAGTCTTATAGAGCAAAAAATACGGTAATTGCCTTCACATATCACTAAATCAGCTCCAGGAGTCTTCATGATTTTCCCAAGTCTGGAAAAGTGTGCAGGCTCAGGCCATCACCATTCATAAATAACTTTATAAAGTTAAGCATATCCTTCATGCTCTCAGCCACGATCTTTCTTAGAATTTAATCCATGGAGGCCAGTGGTATGATTCAGGAATGAACTATGCCATGCACATCCAAAAACAACCAAGTCTCTCTCTTAAATTGCAGTGGACTATTTCATTACCTATTTCTTAATGTAAAGGAAAGAAGTTTGCCCAGAAGTTTCACTTGTAGTGTGTTTTTAATGTTGTACACCGCTCTGGGATATTTGGATAAAGGCTGGTATATAAATTGAAAAAATAATAATAATAATAATTATGGGTGAAACTTCGGCAGAAATAATAAGATACCCATTTAGCTAGTGGTCAGCAAAGTAAGTGTTATATAAACATGTGTCTTATACCTGCTGTCGGAGAAGATCTTTCACATCACCCAGTATTTGGTTCATTTGCATCATGTGACCTAATAACTGCCTGTTAAAGTCACTTGTAGAGACACCTATAATAAAATGAAAGTTATGAAAAAGTGTAATGCAGAAGTTCAGAAACTCAACAGTATTGACACTTATCTAACCTCCAAAGTACTTCATAAAAGTTCACAATTGCCTAGAATTTGGACCTCAGCAAACTTACCATCTGTCTCTACGCATGTTTACTCTGAGATTCCACTAGTTTCAATAAGACTTATTTCCAGCTAGTTTATTATTAGTTTTGCAGCCATGCAGCCCTATCTTATGCATGCTTATTTGGAAATAAGTCCCACTGTTCGACTGAGGCTTACTCCCAAGCAGCCTTGGTCTAGTAGTTCAAGGATTGCATTGCAGCTTAAGGCCCAGCTCAACCTCTACAGAATCAAGTGATCGCTTAAATGTGTTAGCAAGCCATTCATGGATCAAGCATTACCAACACCATCCTTGCACGTGCAGATGGCAGCAAAACTGGAAACGATGTCACCATCCACCAATGACAATGCCACTCATCAATGACACTCTGTATAATAAAATGTGGCCCGCCTTGAGGACTGTGTGGCCCTGAAAGGCAGTGTAGAAATACCCAAATAAACAAATGAATACATGCATGGAGGAAACTCTCAACACATGGCAATGGTGGGAACACTGACATGTCATCCTCCCCCCTCCACATGCACACAATTAAAGTTGTTGAAAGAAACACTGGTGTTGTACTGACATTCCTCACAGCAAGCATGTAAAGAGTGGGCATCGTACACACTTGAGCACATGCACATGAGGCCCCTGTGTGGCATTGGTGTTTGATGCAGCAGTCTTAAAGTGCAGAGCTCTCCTAAACAGAAGCAGCTGCTACAAAATTCTGTGCATTAAAATCCAAGACACACCAGCTCTCCCAAGATCAACCACCGATGACTTCATTTCAGCTAATACACAAAACACAAAAACGCCCATGCACTGATGATATGATTCTTTTCTCCCCAACATATGCTAAAGCAATCTAGTTTAAATTGTTTCTGGCCACTACTTTGATATCTGCTGAACAGGTTTACTAGAAAAAGGCTAGAAAACATGCCCATAGAACAATGCGAGCCAAGTCAATGCTTTTCTAAGAACATACGCATCTACCCTGAAAGGAGGATGAGCTTCTTTGCATGACTTCATACCTTGTTGGCATAGAGACAAAAGGCTCTGGTGCCCCTCCTTCAAGTCACTTCCCATCCTTATCCAGTGGTGATTATTACAAGCCCCTGCTGCCATGCTGTCTGTCCTCAGAAAAGGAGGACAGGGAAAGAAAAGCCAGCCGACAGATAGACACCGAGAGATCGAGCTGCTATGAAGTGGCATTTGCCACATTGTGTGCAGACCTGTCCAAGATTAAACTCAGAGGAAAGCAGTGCTGTCAAAGGTCTATCTTTGCACAGGCCTGATTGGCTGGTGGATGCAATGTCACAAATCCAACTCCCCCAACATCCTTGGTGCAGTTTTCCAGCTCTTTTTGCATTGATTTCCCTCTTTAAAATAAAATAAAATAAACAAAAGCAGCAAAAAATGCTTAAATGCAGGTGGGGAGTTCATGCTGAGTTTCAAAACTTTTGAAAAAGATGAACACCTTGCCAGCATTATGGTACTGAGCAAAAATAGCCTCCTAAAACTATTCATAAAATGGAGTTAAGTGAAATTCCAATAACAGCTTTTCCTCAGAGAACTCTCTTCTGAGAAATTTCCGCCTCCTGAAACTTGGGTAAAACTCTACTGACTATCCATGCAGGTTTGTGTGTTTTGCTGTTTCTTTAATGTTTCTGGTTTGGATTTAACCTATTTCCTAAGGCAGTTACCTAAGGAACAACAAGTCGATGGCGCTGTTTATGTTTGGCCTGGTACAGAGGAGACTGAGAGGAGATACGATAGCCATCTTCAAATCTCTCAAGAGCTGTCACAAGGCAGATGGAGTGAGCTTGTTTTCGCCTGGTCTGGAGGCTAGGATCTGAACCAATGGATTCAAGTTACAAGAAAGGAGATCCCGACTAAACATCAAGAAGAACTGTCTGACAGTAAGAACTGCTCAACACTGGAACAGACTTCCATGAAAGATGATGGACTCTCCTTCCTTTTAAAGCAGAGGTTGGATGGCTATCTGCCATGTGTGCTATAGTTGCAATTCCTTGCCTTTTTCTCATACGTCAATTGGAGAATTAAAGTACAACATCTGGTGTTGAGGGCAAGACGTGGCAACTCTACTGCTTAGTTACAGGAGACTTTCTTGGAAGGATGGTATATCTTTGCTTCCTCTTGCAGTACAGCTAGGATAAAAATAGTCACTAGGAAACCTGGTTATGCTCTGAATACAATATTACATATGGCCAAGCACATTTATTTTGTAATATAAAAACTACCTGGATATTGAACTGCTGGCTCAATCTGTGGAAGAAAACAGTCCTGGAGGCCAGCTACTTGGGACAATGACCCTTTTACTACTAGCTTCAGCTCCTCCAAAGTGTCCTGCAATGACAAAAGAGATTTGGAGGCATAACATTAGGAAGAGGTATCCCAGCTTCTCCTTTCGAAAGCTCACAACAGTTCAAATGCCTTTCATGACCTTCACAAACACAACAGGCAGCTGCAAGAACTTTTTTTTAGGGGATGACGTACAAATGCTACTAACACAGAAGTCAGTAATATGTACATCTATATGTTGTATGAATGAAAATGTTCTTGCTGTAACAGTCATAGGAAAAGTTGCTTCCAAATAACCTGAAGGATATGCATTTTGGTTATGACCAGCTAAGAAAACTTACATGTGCCCTGTATCTTAAAATATTGGTATCTTTACCAAGCAGAGATTAGGTAGCTGCCCTTAGGGCAGAGTTCTTTGACCTTGTGTCTCCAGGTATTGATGGACTAGAACTCCCATCAACCAGCTTAGCCCAATGGTCAGGGGACTTGTAATCCAATATCTGGAGGCCCAAGGTTAAAGAAGGCTGCCTTAAAAGGTACAGGCCAGCCAGATTATTGTCCAAGACGGAATTTCATCTGGCTGGCTTGTTGTCAGGATAGAATGGGGCTATAGAGCTTTGGCCTCTGCCATCAGGACCTTGAGACACTAGAAGGTTATTCCTGAATCACAGGTTGTGACCAACCTTGCACCACCCATCAGCCATAAAATAAGCAACTGCAAAGAAATTGATTCTTCACTTCCTGCCAGAAGGAACACTTGGCTCCTCTTGGGACTGCAGAGCTAAAAGAATGCACACATGAACATTATGATCCCATCCATCAGCCAGAGAATGAAGGGCTGCTGGGTTGTGCAGGTTTAGGGGCATGTCTCTATGTGCATTCTTCAATTACAATGATGATCATTTGATCAAAGGCATGATATAGTAAATGTCAAACCAGGGGGAAAAAATCCATGTGCCACTGGTATTCCCCACCCCACCCCCACTTTCTATCCATTGCATCTTTTTTTAAAGCAGATTGGGGTACTTTGCACATAGAATCATAGAACTGTAGAGTTGGAAGGGACCCCAAGGGTCATCTAGTCCAACCCCCTGCAGTGCAGGAATCTCAACTAGATCATACATGGCAGGTGGACATCCAACCTCTGCTTTAAAAGGAAGGAGAGTTCGCTTTCTTTCATGGGAGTCACTGATTTTTATCAAAAATAAATTAAAGTTGCTTTGTGCCAGAGGCAAAAGGAATACTGCGCATGCCTAGATGTTAGCGTAACTTTAAGTCAATTAACTAAAAGAGAAGTTGGTTTTCCTCATAAAAGTACACAGAGAGACAGGCTCAGTTTGAGATGTCAGAGTTCTTGAAAATAAAAGTTAGCAACCCTAATTGGTCTCCTTTCATATATGTAAGAAGTTCTCTGGTAAAAAAAAGTTAGGTAAAAGTAAAGGACGCCTGGACGGTTAAGTCCAGTCAAAGGCGACTATGGGGTTGCGGTGCTCATCTCGCTTTCAGGCTGAGGGAGCCGGCATTTGTCCACAGAAAGCTTTTCAGATCATGTGGCCAGCATGACTAAACCGCTTCTGGCGCTACCAAACACCTTGACAGAAACCAGAGTGCATGGAAACGCCGTTTACCTTCCCACCGCAGCAGTACCTATTTGTCTACTTGCACTGGCGTGCTTTCGAACTGCTAGGTTGGCAGGAGCTGGGACAGAGCAACAGGAGCTCACTCCATTGCAGGGATTCGAACAGCTGACCTTCTGATTGGCAAGCCCAAGGGGCTCAGTGGTTTAGACCACAGCGCCACCCGCATTAGCAACCCTAATTGGTCTCCTTTCATATATATAAGAAGTTCTCTGGTAGAGCCACAGAGCTCTTCAGTTGCAAGGGAAGGTTATACTCACGAATCAAGAGGACTGAGGGGAAGAACTTGACCGATGAACTCGTGAATCTCCCCTACTCCCTCTCCACCCTGGGCCTGACAAATGAAGTGCATGTGTCTCCACCCAATCAGCAAGCACCCTGACATGAGAGGAGCTTCTGCATGAAGACTCCATCACTCCTCTACAGCTGCTCACCTGTGCTTTTTTCTGCAGTGTTCGTAACTCCACTGCCTCTGAGCTTTGTGACAGTCCTAAAAAGGCTTTAGGCAGATCTTGAATGGAATCCATCTGCACACAGTCCACGTACAATTCGGCTTTGCTGGAGCCACGTTGCAGGCCGCTTAGCCTGAGGAGGACTGAGCGGCGCTTCCCATCTGCCAGTGGCACGTTGCTGAAGATCACAGCATTTAACTTCCCATCGCTCCTCAAATATCGAAGGGAAACTAGAACAAAATAACATTATTGTAAGGCAAGAACACAGTATAATTGGTACACAGTGAAACCTCTGCCAATGGAGCAGGAAGTTTGCGGAAAGTTAAGGAAAGCCAGCTCAGCTTTTCTTGGTTTGATCGTGTCTGTTGCGACAGCTCTAGTTAACAAATCACTTGCAAATGCATATACCATGTGAAGTATTGTCCTAGATGCAGATAAAAATAAAATAGCTAACAAAGGGAGGGGGGGCACCCGTCAGCTCCAGCTCTCTCCATGATCACAGATGCACAGGTTGGGTGGTGGCCAAACGCAAAAAGAGGAAGGGCCCCCTGCAGCTTTAGAAGTTGTGTGGAAGAAGGAATTTCAACAGGGTTCCTTCTTCTACACAACTTTTATCTATCAGTCATCTGCTTGAGACATCTTTTGAAGACATCTTTTGCCCATGCCTTTGCCCGATCCATGAAACTGGTCCTTTTATGCATGCTACAACATCGGGCGAAAAATTTCTGCATAACAGAGGGTTGGACTAGATTATCCTCATGGTCCCTTCCAGCTCTACAGTTCCAGGCATTTCTGTACTTTTAGTCGCTGTTTAATTGTTTCATTGTGTATTTATACATTTTATCAATGGGTTTTCATTTTAATTGTACTATTTTACAACTTTAGTGTTTGCAACCCTGGGGTCCTTTGAGAGGAAGGGCAAGATAGAAATTTTAATGATGGTGATGATGATTAAAAGAAGCAATTTTGTGTTTCCTAGTATGTTAAAAAACCATTTAGATCTATTCTTACACAGTGGTTCCTTGGGTTACAGACGATTCAGGTTACAGACCCCGCTAACCCAGAAATAGTACCTCAGGTTAAGAACTTTGGTTCAGGATGAGAACAGAAATCGAACGGCAGCAGCGGGAAGCCCCATTAGCAAAAGTGGTACCTCAGGTTAAGATCAGTTTCAGGTTAAGAACGGACCTCCCGAACGAAGTTCTTAACCCGAGGTACCACTATATATTAAGTGATATAGAAATGATCTTCTATAAATCACGAAGGTGTAGGAGCTCAGTTCTGTTTTGTATCTGGCCCTGAATTAGTTTCTGGTTCTCAGATTCCGTTTCATATTATTAAAGCAGAAATAGTAAGGACTGCAGCAGGGTTGGCTAAAGACATCTGGAAAGAAAACTCCAGAAAGTACCTCTCCCCATGCTAAATTATATGCAGTAACTGAACAACTTATAATTTCTTGCCCTTTAATGTAGCTGCATATTTGCTCCCTAAGGACCAAACTAGAAGTAACTTGTGAGATATCAGTTTGCTTTTTAGGAACTGGCCCCACTATCTCATGGATTAGATCTGCCCTGCTGGTTTGTTAAGCAAAGGTACAAAAGTTAAGACCACAGAGCATTGTATCTACTAAAAGCTGCTATGTAAGTGGCAACCACATTAGAAGAACACTGAACATGCCTTGGGTCCCCCCCCCCTTCGAAAATAAAAGCAACTGAGGGAAGAAACAGGACTATGAAGGGGGGGGGGAGGGATTTAGGCCTTTCTCTGTGTACTGTAATCCTTGTAAAAATAAACCCTCCCCCTTGCATTATTTGCCCCAGGAACAAAGCTACCAGTGATCTCCTGTGCAGCTATGTGTTGTCAGGACCTGGGATGCAACAGACAAGAGGAATCTCTACTGCAGATTTCAAGATACGTGAGCATTCTCCAGATTTGAATCTGGCAAGCCCTATAAGAAAGATCCTGCATCTGGAGCAAGACTAGATAAATCCAGCAGAGAATAAGAGAAAGATAGATAAAGGAAAGGGGTGGAAGAGCTCACAATTGGCCAATGGCCATGAGACAGGATTGCCGGAGGGCAGCTGGACTGGATGGAAGATCAAGGTTCATCTGAGGAGGTGGAATACTTTTTTTGGAGAGAGCAGAGGGGGAAATGCTTGCTAGGAAGGACCAAAGACATTATTATATTTAAACCATCTGTGTTGCTGCACCCTTCCACTGCAGGAAAAGTTTGAATTTACTGGTGCCAATGGATAGTGAAGACTTCAGTCGTTTTCACTGTGGAGAAAACCAGAGTCCCTGTTGCTTTGCTTATGAAAGGCAGTAAAAAAAAGTTTCAGTTTAGGATACCAGAAATCCTGTTGGATATTTGAATAGGCTTCAAAGAGCTGTTGTTAAGTGAGCACATACAACTTTTAAAGAAAATGCTATTTTTAAAAGATGAGCAGTCTTTTCTCTGAGTGTATATCCAGGTGAGAAGGTCAGGAGAGGGGGGAAAGTAGACATGGATGTATCTGGGGAGTCTGCAGCATATATTTTGATGGATTAGCATATGTTTTTGTGATCACTGTCCACTTCTGGAACACTACTGACTTGGTTAAAAAATACTTTCATTTCTTCACTTTTTTTAAAAAAACAAGTCCTTATGGTTTGAGAAGAATGAAAAGGATGCAGTTTTAATATTTTAATGCATTAAATTCAATAGTAAATTACAAATTCAGTAGTCAATTGATAAATCACAGAATCGCAGAGCAGCATTTTAGTGAAGGCCTTTAATGCGATAGCCAAGAATTTATTCGTTCCTTATTAACAGAACTAAAGCATTACCCCTGAACCACCATCAATTGTTTATACTTGTACAAATGTAGTGGTGAAGGCTGGTTGCAGAATAATCCCTAAATTCCTAATCCCTAAATTTTAGCTACAGTGGTACCTCTGGTTATGAACTTAATTCATTCCAGAAGTCCGTTCTTAACCTGAGGTACCACTTTAGCTAATGGGGCCTCCCGCTGCCGCCGTGCCGTTGCGTGATTTCTGTTCTCATCCTGAGGTAAAGTTCTTAACCTGAGGTACTACTTCCGGGTTAGTGGAGTCTGTAACCCGAAGTGTTTGTAACCCGAGGTACCACTGTACTTCCTTTGGATGTTATGTGGCAATGGAGACAATGAAATTAACCTTATCACAAGCAGCTTTTAGCCTGCCTTCTAAGGCAGTGGTTCCCAAGCTCCTCACCCACCTGCCCTAGGAAGGACCACTTGAAAATTGCTACTGGTTTTGGTGGACCACTTAATGATTTTTCAACCTGTTGTAGCAATTGCAATGCACTGTGCTATATGATGTATGATTTGTAACTTTATTTTTATAGTTTCTTTTTTATAATACAGTAAAATACAACAGAAGGAAAAGAAGCAATAAAATACAATTTAAAATAAATATTAATGTTAAAGTGAAACTGATGGACCACTGGTGGTCCACGACCAGTTTGGAAACCCATGTTCTAAGAGAATTCTTCTTCTCTTTTAGGAGAGCGAGAGTGAAATCATCATGAAGGACAATGCAGTTATGAAACCAAGAAGGCCAGATTGCAAGCGGATTCTGCTTTAATATGTTACAATCCTAAGGGAAACAAGTGAAAAGAGATGGCAGGGAGAGGAATGTTCTGGAATAGCAAAACATCACACAGAGGAAACAAGGTACCAAACTCTTGTATTTTCTTAAAGGGTTCCTTGAGCGCATATGTAGATATATTTGTATAAAACTGTTCTGTCATACTAAAAACAAACATGAATTTTTAAAATATTGCTCCTGGCAATGGCAACAGGCATTGGCAGTCAGACCACACAACTCAGATGATCATGTCCCTGCTGAGCTGCCATAAATTACTGCTGTAAGTAACCATAGCAATTGTTGTTATACAATTCCATTCACCATATAGATGGGTTTATGAAACATTTCTGTGTCCTTCTGCTGTGCTGAAGAATTCCACGAAACAGTGGGTATATCCGGAATCACTGTTCACGGACCACTTTGGCAGCGTTCGACGTCATAAAACAAAGCTTTACAGCTTGTTTTCACCAGATAAGAATCTGACCCATTGCTTCTTTCAGAGACTTGCATAGCCCACAAAGACTTTCAGAGACCTTTAAGACTTATGTTTATTTGGTTCTATGTTTTCAAGAGTATCCATCAAGAGTGCATAATTTGTGACTTTCAGAGATTTAGAAGATTTCTATAATTTACTGCTGGGCTGCACCTGGCTTGGTGGGCCACAAATGGTGCATTATAATGGCCAGACTATCTCTGTCCAAGAACCACCATAGTTGACGTAACAGCTAGAGCTGGTAAAAGGCACTCCTAGAAACTGAGGTTACCTGTGCTTCCAGCAACAAAGATGGATCCAGGGGCCCCCACAAACCCTGAATGTGTCTTTCCAGAGTAAGTGCAACCCCGTTGAGAATAGGCAACTGGCCAATCTTCTGGACATGGGAATCACCAACCCAGTGCCTCTGCACTCCCACAGTTCAAGCTCAGTTCATTAGCTCTCAGATTATATTTGCATTAATTTTTATATGACTAACATTTTGTTCTAAAGCAAAACACATGTTCTTTATTTGCTGATTTATAACAAACTTCTTTATAACAATTATCATTATCATCATCATCATCATCATCATCATCATCACATTTCTAAACCACCCTTCAATCTGAAGGTCACCAGGGTGATATCAAAACATCAAAATTAAAAGCAGAAAAAGGAATTTCAGTAGAATATAATTACAACAGAAGTCAGACTACCTTACATACTCTTCCTATCGCCCACAGCTTGGAGAAGCAAATGAGTCTTCACTTGACATAGGAAGGATAGAGTAGGGGAAATATATCTTCAGTGGAAGTGAGTTCCATAACTAGGGTGCCACAACAGATTGAAAGCCATGAATTGTTTGACTGTAGAATGGACCATGCTCACCAATAGAAACACTAGCAGGGCCTCTCCTACAGACCTTATTGCATGGGACAGCAGATAATGGGAGACACTCCTTCAAATATTTGGGCTTCAAATATAGGGATTTATACTTTGGACGTAGTCCTTGTAGCAAATCAGGATCCTGTGCAGCTCTTTAAGGATCTGTGTAACATTATCCTATTTTGTTGTGGCATTTATTAATCTAGCAGCTACATTCTGCAGCTGCTGCAACTTCTGGAACATCTTCAAGGGCAGTCCCATGTAGGTTACTAGAGCATGTAGTACTGTGGCTGGAATACTGCAGTCCAGATGCAGTTGTGGGTAGTGAATGAATTGGAAATGGGCACTCTTGCTACTGAGGTCGCCTGGGCTTCAAATGACAATATTGGTTCTAGAAGCAACCCCAGACTACCCCTTTAGGCAGCAATCCTACACTCACTTGCCTGGGAGTAAGCCCCATTGGATTCAATGGGGCTCACTCTGAGCAGACATATACAGGATTGCAATGTTAGCCTGCAATCCTGTGCGTGCTTACTTGGGATTAAGTTTCATTTAACTCATTGGAGTTTACTTGTATAGACCTGCACCTGATCCAACCAAATGCATTTTAAAAGGCTCACCTTTTAGTCAATCAAAAGTTTTTAAATCTGTTAGTCTAACCAATCACTAACGAGTTGCAGCCCCAATTTAAAGGCAATTTAACTAAACGTTTCTGTAATTGGTTAGCATGCAATTTTAGTTAGTAGGTTTATTCTAATTGCACAACCATTCCTCCCTTTGTAGATAACACCACACGTTTTTCATGCTCTACATTCATGAATTTACCATAGCATGGCAGAGTTCCACACAAGTCAGTGCTACGGCTCTAAACAAGCGCATTCCACTCAGCCAAGAGCATTTTCTGTCATGTGGCTGATTTTATAAGGCCTTTGCAACAGGAATGTTTATCTTGCACAGTCAAAGCTAAACTTCGGGATCAACTAAATTAAGTTCCCCTCTTTCATATGCTGAATGCAGCATGTGCGTGTATCTATCAAATTCCTCAGTAATTTGAAACAGTGATTTCCCAAAGGGGAAAAAGGAAGAAAGAAAAACCTTTGACTTGGTTCTTTGAGAACCATTCATCACTGCCAGTGGGAAGTTTGCTGGCAGAAAGATGCCAGCCCCCATCTCCCAACATGGGGAATCAAGGCTGTACAAGAACACAGAGACAGGATGTTGCCATAAGCTAATTCTCATACTTCTCTGAAGCGTGGAATGCAATGAGTATGCAAGCAGGCAATAAAAAGCAGTAGCAAAGTGTTGGAATTGTATTTACATTAGCTTTCATTCCAAGTCTCAGTACTGATAAGACTCCAATACTGCAATAAACTCTGAGCACCAGAATTTAGGAAGGATATCAAGAAGTATTCAGGAGGTGTTTAAGAGGATGGTAAAAACAATTTCAGGAGTAAACATTAATTAAATGAATTAAAACTTCACCAAAAAATGTAAGCTAATCGTAGATTTGTGTGAGAGACCTTCTTGAGAATATGCCCAATAAAATCACATCTATTCATTGCTTTCACACCCACCCACCCGACTTTTGTAGGACTTACCTTTATTCACCCGTCCCATAACTGTGAATTCAAAATATTTTCTGTTTTCAGTGGAGGAATATAGCCCAAATACAACAGCTGTGCTTTTGGGTTGCAGTCTGAATGTCGACAGCACGTAAATTTCATTCAGTGTAGGATCGGCCAGTGTCTGTTGCAAGAAGGTTTTTACTAGCCTCTGGTTGGGTGTAGAAAGAAGATCAAAAACTATAAAGAGATAAGAAGGATTTCACTAAGTTGATTATTATAAATAATATACAAGTGGGACTTCAATAAAATGGTGCAGTTCGTCCTTGCAACAGGAACGCTCCTGTAGCATGACAGAAGCCTGTAATTTTATCAGGATAAGTTGTTTGTTGTTTACTTCTGTAACAATTGTTTTCTCAAAATGTATTTTCTGTACCATGAAAAATAAATAAAAACAAAACCACAAATGCTCCTGTTTCAGTTTCTGGCCAAACAGCTATGTCCTCCTCCAGGAAATTCCATTTCACCACCAGTATCACCCCCAACTTTGCATTTCCCCTTGCCCAAATGCCAAGTTGAGCATTTAAGGGCTGATTTAGTTCAATGAGAGAAATGGAGCTCTGCAGCTGCAGATTCAAACTGCCTCAAGCCACCTTAGTTGGTGTGAGTCATAGCTCAGTGAGTGGTAACCACATGGTTTGCTTGTGGAAGGTCACAGATTAAATCCCAGGCATCTTCTGTTACAAGTACAGTACAGTAACTTTCAGGTGGCCTGTTTGGGAACACCTTGAAGCTGTGGACAGTTTCACCTGTAGTACCAAACAAGAAAGATTTATGGTCTGACTCACCACAAATCAGAGTCATCTGTTCTTTCGGAAGAACTTACAAGAAATTCCTCCTTGGGCTGGCTTTTAAAGAGGTGAGATTTTATTCTGTTTCGCTAAAAGGAAAGCTTTTTCTTTTTCTTGGTCTGAGTATTTGAGATGGAGGTGGCTACAGATACAAATAAATCAATAAATTTCCAATGATTATTAGTGTTATTTAAAATCGCCCTTCACTAACCCAACTGTGTTGAAAGAATAAAGAGTGTTAAGAGACATATCACCAATCTCCTGGTGAAAAGTACATCAGGAAGATGGGAAACATTTATACATCATAAGCGGTTATGCTTATTTTATGCTTGTTGCTTAATTGATTGCAATAATTTATTTGTTAGATTGCTTCAAGTCTGATCTGGAAAAAAGTTTAAGTCTAATGACCTTACTAATTGTAGTCAAATTAAAATGTGTTCCTTCTGGATATACAGTTCTTTGAATTAAACTCATGTGACTTCATAGATGCCAAGAATCAAATTAAACTTTGTTTTTTCAGGAATTAACATGGTGCTAGCTCCCTGACCAAACTGTACTCCTATATAAGCCACAGTGTGGATACTGTTGCCTGCAAGCTTACCCTGTAGGTGGTACATTTTTCACAGCAGACAGGACTTATTTCTGGCTCTGGGTGGAGACACTCTGGATTTAGCTAAAGAGCACAGTTCTGCCGGATGGTATTTTGCTGAAGTGAGTGATCACTGAATATACAAGGTTATAAAACTATTTGCTTATTAAAAGTGCCATATAAAGAGACAGTGGGGAACAAAGGCCAGATATTTGTAAAGAATGATAAAACAGCAGAGCACACACATTTAGAAGCAAAAACTAGGTCTTGGCTTTTTGATTCAACTAGAGAGAAAAAAGAGGAAAAGTTGAGAAGAGGCAAAGGGCCCTGGGATACAAGCAAATGGTTAGATACTATTTGGAGATTTATGCAAGTCTTTGTGCTGCTGGCTTGCACATTCCCCTCTCTTACATCACACATATTATAACATTATGAAATACAAGCGGTTCACATGGAAGTCTACACATTGTCGAATGGTTTCTGGGATTCCTTCTCCAAAAGCAGGAGAAAATTGATACAAATTGAGCTTTCATTGGCTTCCATTTAGAGCAGGGGTAGAGAACCTGTAGCTTTTCAGATGCTGTTAGACTCCAGCTCCCATCAGCCTCAGCCAGAACGGTTAGGGATGATGGGTGTTGTCATCCAAAGGTATCTGGACGGTCATACCTCATACCTGAAACAGAGCACCTGTTGCACACACTATGTTTATGTGTGTGGTAGAGTGTGCGTATTCCTTAACTATGCTGTATCTTCATCAGGATGTGTGAGACCAGGCCTCTGGTTTCAATCCTATGAAGATGGTAAATTGTTGCCTAGATTTATCCAATAGCAGAGTGCTAATTTACCACAATGTAATAATCCTGCCATGTGGTGTGGATTATTTAACATATACTGTATCTACATCTGGCTGAAAATCTGATGAGGTAAAATTATTTCCATCAGTTGGCAGCTTGTTACAGAAAACTAATTTACTAAGTGGATTTAAATGGACGCCATGTTAAATTGCCTTTGGGTAAAGGGTCTTCTGAAGCCACACACTTAGCAGTGCTTATTTGAAGAACTAACTGCTGACATTCACAGAGGTTAATTATCACAGAAGGGCTGAACATCTACAAAAGCTTATTAGCCTGCAAGTGTACACAGAATGCATGACTTCCCAGAGCGAATTAAACCAATTGTTCATGCACTCCAACGGCCACCTGGACACAGATTGGTAGCTTTAGAAACAGATTCTCAATTTTTTCCAGAATGATGAGCCTCCAACTCAAAATAGGAGGGGTGTGGGGTGGCTAGCTTTTCCAAGTGTAGTTTATGATGGGACCATGATGCATTGGAAACTTAAAAGCACAACCCACACAACTTTTAATCCTCATTGATTTCAAAGGAAAATAACAAAGGACCTCAAACTGCAACTCTTTACTCACTTACATGGGAGTAAGCCCCAGCAGACTCAATGGGACTAACTTCTGGGTAGGCATGTATAGGATTGCAATGCTTCATTATAGTAGGATTACCCCTTTATGAAATAATGTCATTTCATTGGATCATTATTCTCTAACAAAGTATATTTTTCCAAAGGTTCTTTATGATTTTAAGGAGCTTTTGTTAAATAAAAGGTAATAAAAGGTACAGATTCCTTTGGAATAATGCTCCTGACAGTTTATGTCATTTCAGTGCCTTCAAAATCGAGTCCTTTAAACTTTGTACTTTGTCTTTAAATATTTTCCTGTCCCGTTTCCACCTTCTGTTTCTGCTCTATTAACAGTGCAGGTCTCTACCTGTCTACTCAGAAGTAAATCCTATTGAGTTTAATTAAGGGAGGTTACTCCCAGATATGTAGGGACTGCAGTCTCATTATCTTGTTTCACTAGCAACCGCCTGTACTTAAATTTAGGAAACCATAATGAAGCAATTAAGACAAAACTAAAAACCCTTCACAGCGGACAATCTTACTGTTGCAAACTTCTTTGAGGATTGTGGGCACACTCACCATATGGCCAATGATAGCTTTTTCAGATTCTTAGGGGGGGGGGTCTAAGTCTCCTGAATCAAAACAAAACCCTCTTTCCCATATCTGTTCTCTTAGAACACCAGATTTCCCCCCCCCCCCCAATTCAAGTGAGGTTAAAGCAATGCAGCCCCAGAATGGTGAGAAGGCAGCTACAGTTCAGGAAAATCAATGGGAAAACCCCGACTGCACACATTTTTAGATAGATGTTAGGGTTTGTAATATTGTTGTTTCAAATCTTGTACATATTTGCTATGCACGCACCCTTAATTTCTTTAAAAAATAATATAATAGGCTTCAAAGGTTAACTTTATAATAAAACAATGTAATTTATAACCAAACTTTTGAAGTGTTTCCCTCAATTCATGTTTTGCAGTTGGTCATAGGCATATTGTTTTTCTCTGATAACCCCCCCCCCAATCTCTGCTCCATACTAACCCCCTCCAGCCAGTGGATTGGGGTTTAAGATTGCTCTGCAATATTTATAAATCATCCTTAATCCAGCGGGTGGGTGACCACAAGCTTAACGTGAGTCAACAGTGTGATGCAGCAGCAAAAAAAGCTAATGCTATTCTAGACTACATCAAGGGAAGTAATAGTACCACTCTATTCTGCCTTAGTCTAAACCACAGAGCCTAGGGCTTGCCGATCAGAAGGTTGGCGGTTCAAATTCCCACAACAGGGTGAGCTCCTGTTGCTTGGTCCCTGCTCCTGCCAACCTAGCAGTTCGAAAGCACGTCAAAGTGCAAGTAGATAGATAGTTACCGCTCTGGCAGGAAGGTAAACGGCGTTTCTGTGCGCTGCTCTGGTTCGCCAGAAGCGGCTTAGTCATGCTGGCCACATGACCCGGAAGCTGTACGCCAGCTCCCTCAGCCAATAAAGCGAGATGAACACCGCAACCCCAGAATCATCTGTGACTGGACCTAACAGTCAGGGGTCCCTTTACCTATTCTGCCTTAGTCAGACCACACTTGGAATACTGTGTCCAATTCTGGGCACCATGATTTAAGAAGGATGCTGACAAGCTCGAAAATATGCAAAGGGCAACCAAGATGATAAAGGGTCTGGAAACTAAGCCTTATGAGGAGCGCTTGAAGGAGCTGGGTATGTTTAGCCTGGAAAAGAGCAGACTGAGAGGAGATATGATAGCCATCTTTAAATATTTTAAGAACTGTCACGTGGGGGGAGGAGCATGCTTGTTTTCTCCTGCTCTGGAGGGTAGGACTCGTACCAATGGCTTCGAGTTATAAGAAAGGAGATTCCAACTAAACATTCAGAAAAACTTTCTGACAATAAGAGCTGTTCAGCAGGCTCCCATGAGAGCCTCTCCTTCCTTGGATGTTTTTAAACAGAGGTTGGATAGCCATCCGTCATGAATACTTCAGCTGAGGTTCCTGCATTGCAGGGGGTTGGACTAGATGACCCTTGGGGTCCCTTCCAACTCTACAGTTCTATGGTTCTAGGGAGGCATACATTAGGTTAATAGATATAATACAGCTCAAAAAGTATAACCTACATGCATCTTCACAACATATTCAACATTCTACTCATTGAAATAATTCCGCTTGAGAAGCATGAAAGAGATTCTTTCCCATTGCATTCCATTTATTTTAGATTTCATTCTTACTCATACCTACAGCCTTTGGGTAATGCATGAAAGGAGTCAAGGTGGTTCAGTTGATTAACTGATTAATCTCGAACGAATGATTCTTTAGTGTCTTCACAATCTATCATCACACAGCCCACTAAACAGCTTGAATTTAAAAACATGCCCTTTCTGCAAAGGTAATTAGCACCAGTGGTGCATTGTGCCTACATGGGAAAATCAAAACCATAAAAATGTGATCTGCAAACAGGTATCAGCTACAAAAACCGTTCATCCCCATTTTCAACAACAGTACTATGCTATTGTCCTTGTAATATTAACAACACAGCAACTGTGTTGAGACACTACTGTTTAAATCAAATCATATGCAGTAATGAATGCCAATTCAAAGCTGAATAATTATCCCCATCTGGAATCAATATTAAAATATCTTCAGGAACACCATCCTAATCAGAGGTAAATTACATTGGATGTATCTAAGGCTGTCCCTCTGCTTATTAAAGGCTCTTTGACCCAACAGTGGGGTTTTGTCACTGGAATGGGGAGGCAAACTATTTTCACTAATTCACCCTTCCCTGGTAGCTCCTTATACTGTTCCAGTGAGTCTCCCAACCCCTGGGAGCAGATTGGGAACAGATGAGAGCTGCAGCTGTTGAGGGTGAATATGTAAAAATCACATTCCTTACCTTTTCTGCTAACAGAAGCCTCTGCTGCATCAAGCTGTCTTCTGTCACTAGATAAAATCCCAAGTTTAATGGAATTTAATCACTAGCATGTTTAGGGCTGTGTACACACCAAATTTCTGAAGCACATTTAAATTAGTGCACACACCCCAAAGAATCCTGATAGCTATAGTTTAGAGGCTGCAGATACTCTTACTGAATGAGGTTCATAATATGTCTAGCAAGGATTTTACAGGTGCGGTGCTGACTTTATGTGGAATTGCCACCCCAATGAAGCCCACCAGGATCAGGCTCTGGCTGAATTCAGGTGAGCATTTGGCTTGCACATACACACACACACACTTCACAAGGAGTTCAGAAGCTTTCACTTCCATTTTTTATTATCTGCAGTTTGTCTTGCTATCTGAATATGACAAACTGACTTAGCCGATTTGTCTGAAACAAATTAATTTTAAACCTTAAGTTATAAAACTACCTTGTATCAACAAACAATAGTTGAGATTAACCACAGTTTAAGGTTACAGCACAACTGTGGTGAAACAAAATAAGAAGCACAAGATTCTGATCTCCTTGCAGTTGCATCAGGAGAGGAGAAGGAAGGGGTGAAGAATGAGAGTTCATGGCTCAACTAGGCTTCTTTCTCTTACAAAGAACATAGTTTATTATGATGTGTCGATGCAACAAATATATGATTTCATATAACCCTGGCTTTTTCAAGTAGCATTTAAGCTAAATTGAAGTTGATTTATTTGATCCTGGTCAGGCTTTTGTTTGTTTTTGTTGACCCCGGTTGTTATTATTGCAACTTTTGTTGTTGTTTTGCTTGTGCTGCACTGTTTTTCATTGCTAGTTCGTTCAATTTTTGATTTGATTTGTTGTTTTGTCTTTACAGTACAAGGTAAAGTGGCATATATATATATATATTAATGCAAAAAATAATATCTGATACTGTATTCACATCATTGCTACTCAAACAGGCTAGAACCCTACATACTGTAAATATTAAAGCAACAGATGTTTCCATTCCTAGGCAAGAGAGTAGGAAAAGAGCAGAGGTAAATCAAGATAAAAGTACCCCCTTGTGCTCCTACAGATCTTTTTGAAGGTTTGAGAGTCTCAAGAATCTGTGGAATGTGTTTCCACATATACAAGAATCAAACCTTTTTTAAAAAAAAAGGGCTTTACTATCCTTATTCTAAACAAATCCCTTCAAAAGAAAAGCATCCGGTGATTCTGATTTTGCTTTATCAAAAATTCAGTTCTAAAGGAACTCCTTAAACTTACGGTTTCATAACAGTACAGTTACCATCACCCATTACAAAGGTGGCTTTAAAAACTAACCTTTTGTCAAGTCTGCTTAAACTCCAGCTGCTCCTTTTCTTTTGCCTCAAGAGTTGGATTTGGGGCACCCCACCAGAGGCTGCAAGTTGCTGCCATATGTTTCCTATCAAATCTCCTATTTCTGGACAAGAAACTCTCCCTTAATCCTGGTGGGAATTCCACCGTCGGCCACCTATTCCCTATCCTTGCCTTCTGTAAAGTTCAGCTCCATCGAGGGAAACGAGAGGCTCCCCCCCCCGCCCTTTTTGGACGCCTCCAAGTTGGGACTGTTGCTTCTTACCTTGAGGAGAAGGCGGCTGAGCGTGAGTGGCTTCGCCAGGGCAAAGCTGCAGGGCAATCTGCAAGAGGAGGAAGGCGGCTTTGCGCTTGTTCATCCTGCCCAGCAGTCCAGCGAAGGGAGATAGATGCCCAGAACCTGTGGCTGAGGAGCTGCTGCTGCTGCTGTTCACTCGAGGCTCGCCTCGGATAGAGAGAGGGATGCGCGCGGGGATCTGTTCTTTAGGAGAAAGGCATGGAGGCGCGCGGCGCACTGGAGGCTCCTACCTGTTGCTCGGACACCGGCTCACTGAACTGCAGCAGCCCCGACAGGAGCTGTTTAAATGCGGGAGCAGGCAGACCCTAAGCCCGGGCTGCGAGGGGCGGAGCGAAAGGGACCGGGGCCGCGAGCCATTGGCTGCGACGGGCGAGGCGCGCGCTGCCTCAGGACCGGGAGGAGGCGCTTAGGAATCTTGCAAAGGGCAAAAAAACGCACGAAGAAGCCTCCAAGCTCTCCCAGCTTCCATCCGGTCCCAATAAGTTTGAGCCAAATAAAAGGGAGAACCCTGGACGCAAAGTCCTTCTCCAGATCTCATACCTATCTATCGATCTTGATGCTGTGATCATTGTAAATGGGAAAAAAAATAGGGCACCAACAGGGCTGTGCGTAAAAGGTTGCGGTTATAAAATGACATTGCTTTGCTTTATTTATATTTGTTTTTATTACACGTCCATCATTCCCACCTTCCCTGTGAGGTGCTCCAGGTGGCGCAGGTGGTTCTCCCTTGTGGAACGCCCTCCCACCAGATGTCAAAGAGAAAAACAACTACCAGACTTTTAGAAGACATCTGAAGGCAGCCCTGTTTAGGGAAGCTTTTAATGGTTGACAGACTATTGTATTTTAATATTTTGTTGGAAGCCGCCCAGAGTGGCTGGGGATATCCAGCCAGATGGGCGGAGTATAAATTTATTATTATTAATAATAATAATAATATTTTAGCATCGCCACAGCCCTGTGAGGTAGTTGAGGCTGCAAGATGGCAATGGGGCCAAGGTAGTTGAGTGCGGATTTGAACCCTGGTGTCCTAGTCCAGCACTCCAACCACTGCACTGGATTGGCTCTACTTTCTTTCAAATCAAATTTTCCACATTTTTGTTCTGATTTGGTTACCAAGTTTGATTTTTGTTGTGGTCACTATGCAGGCTTACAGATGGAGGCTTAATCTGCAAAGTTGTTGTTAACAGGCTTTTTCTTTACACATTGGCCTTCCCTTCAGAAATGGAAAATCAGGATTAAATGGGGAAATGTTGTTGCTGGAATGATCTCACGTGGATACTGTAAAAAACTTGCAAGTATGAAGTCTACTAATGCCTAATAAACAAGCATTCTGGAAGTGCCCTGGTTGCTTTTTTCATGTTTTGTTCTAGTGCCCTGAATTTCATTGTTTGTTTTCGAAACATAGAAGTTTTCATGCTAAAAATGGTGCCATCTTGATTATTATGTGGTGCTGACATATGAGCCAACTCCTAAGAGACTTCATCCCCCATAAAATATTTGAGAGGGCTGCCCCCCAAAGTTGATGAGCATTGTCACTCACATGGTATGTGTGTGCCACGTCTTGTGGTCAATTATGTGGGGAGGGGCTTACTTGTCCCCCAATATTTTATTCAAGTTGGCACCCCTGAAGTTCTCTTACTATGAAGTTCTCTTAATTATTATTATTAACCATCCATTAACACAAAGTCTTAGACTGCCTGTGTCTAAAGTACATACAGATAATTTCTGAGACTTTAGCTATTTTATTTTGTAAAAAGTTTTTAAGCCACATATAACTGTAAGGTTAAAAAAACATGTTTGAGTTTCAGCTCAACTCTTAAAATATTAGTTTTTCCTCCTTTTTATTTAATCAACAGACTTATGCATGCTTGGCCTATAGAAAAATTGTCCATTGCTGTTGATTTTTACTTAAGAAAATGTCAGTGGCTCGTTCATATTCCAAGCTATGAAAAATTGACTCACTGATTCAGTCAGGTTTTACCATTTGTTCATAAACAGCACAGAAGACCCACTGTATTTCAAAAACGGTTCTGAGTCAGTATTTTTAGGAAGGAACCAAAGCTGCCATTCTCAAATAACTTACTCTGGATCAAACCCCCTCTATGACTTCAGTGAATCAAGTGAGATGAAGATCACAACTATGCAGCAGCAATCCCTGAACATTTACACTCGCATCACCCTGTTGGAAGTCACAGCATAAGAAACTACTTTATATTGAGTCAGGCCATTGGTTCATTTAGCCCCCCACTGATTACCATATATAGCATTCAGCTAGAGATACCAGGAATGGAATCTACAACTCTGAATGCAAGAGACCTGCACCATTTTAAATAAGCAACTAACAGCCTAATCACATTACTATTTGGTTATGTGGTAACTGTTGCATATTGGCTGATAGCTTCTAGTGAGCTGATTGTTGTATACATCCACCATACCAATGGCACACTTTGGGCTCTCAAATTTGAGCAGTGCCCTGTGCAACTCTAAAATTTGGCACGCCCAGTGGCCAAACCAGTCACATTACCCTAAAATCACTTCTGACCATGCTCAAAGAGTTTTGCAAAGCACTACAAATGTTGCTTATTTCTTAGTGTTTGCAAAACCTATGGCCTGTGAGCCGACATTCACATGCTTACCAGTGCTTTTCTACTGCGACCATGTTTATTATTATTATTAATTATTATTTTATTTGTGTGCTGCCCATCTGACTAGGTTGCCCCAGCCACTTTAGGCAGCTCTCAACAAAATATTAAAAACACAATAAAACCTCAAACATGAAAAACTTCCCTGTACAGGGCTGCCTTCAAATGTCATATAGTTGTTTATCTGTTTGACATCTGATGAGAGGGCATTCAACAGGGTGGATGCAACTTCTGAGAAAGCCCTCTGCCCGATTCCTTGTTACTTCATTTATTGTAGTGATGGAACTGCCAGAAGGCCCTGGGAGCTGGACCTCAGTGTCCGGGGTTGAGACACTCCTTCAGGTATACAGGGCCAAGACCGTTTAGGGCTTTCTAGGTCAGTGCCAATACTTTGAACTGTGCTTGGAAACGTACTGGGAGCCAATGTAGATATTTTAGGACTGCTGTTGTATGGTTCTGGCAACCACTCCCAGTCTCCAGTCCAGTTGGTGCATTCTGGATTAGTTGTCACTTTCAAAGGTAGAACACATTGCAATAGTCCAAGTGGGAGAAAACCAGAGCATGTATTACTTTGGCGAAACAGGGCTCAGGTAGGTAGGGTCTTAGCTGTTGTACAAGGTGGAGCTGGTAGACAGCTGTCCTGTACAACCAGAATTGACCTGTGCTTCCATGGACAGCTGTGAGTCCTAAATGACTCCAAGGTTGAACACGTAGTCCTTTAGTGGCACAGTTACCCCATTCAGGTCCAGGGTGTCCCCCACACCTGCCTGGCCCCCAGAAAGAGTACTTCTGTCTTGTTGGGATTCCACCTCAATCCATTAACAACCATCCACCCTCCAACTGCCTCCAGGCACTCACATAGGATGTCTTTACTGTTCTTGATAGATATTTACAAGCTATTTACCCGTTTCTTGGTTCTGTAACAGTGCAAACAAGGTGCTAGATGTTGTTGCACTGAATTTAGCAGCAATGGAGTTCCTCCTTAGGCAGGCCTAACTACAGCTTAATTCACATTGTAATTTTTCTGATGTAAGCATTAATACTTGTAATATGTTCATAAATATATTTTAAAACTTCTGATTGGACTACAGTAGGAAACATTAATACTTGTGTCAGAAAAGTGTTGGGCAACTAAAATCTTCAAGGGCAAAGGCTTATTGTATTCTATTTTTTGAAAAAAGTAGGGTGGCTTGGTTACCAAAATGAGCATAGTTACAATGGAAGAACTGGAAGAAAGGCAGCAGATGAGCCTTACTGGAGAGACAGAATATAAAGGACAAGAGTGTGGCAGACATGAAAGCAGAAATTTACAGAGCAACCATATACATATCTACACAGAGTTCAGTGAGACTTACTCCTAGGTAACTGTGTATAGGACTTCAGCCTTAGGCAGGCATAAAAAGCTAAGAAGTCCGCATATGCAGAGTAGCAGTTTGGTGTGTAATATATCAAAGAGACAGTGCAGAGAGGCTTAGGAAGAGAAGTGACATGGCAGAGTTTTGGAAAAGATGATTTTAGCAGAGGCATTCTTTACTGCTTAGATAAGGTAGCAATACTCAAATCACTGATTTGGGACTTTCTACATCACTTTTTCCTATATGAGTATTAATGCTGCAAAAATTCAAAGAAAGTTACCCAGAATTTTCAGTCCTTTCTCTCTAGAAAGTACATATTTCGATTTCAATGTTGTGGGAACATAATCTCTATAACCAGGCCTTTGGCTCATTGAACACTGAACATTAAACATGTTTGTGGGAGTGAGGTTATTGGCTTTTGTTCTTGTTTTATTATGTATTTTGTGTTGTCATTTTGTATTTATATGTCATTTTTCAGCCCGTACCATGGCCAATGCCATCTAACAATTTGTCTTATTTTTTATCCTGTTATTGCTGTAGCAGCACATCAATTGTTGTTGAGCTTTCCTGTGTATTGACATACTAGATCAACAGGACTCCCCTGCTTTTTAATCCCCATAGTCTTTTAGGTTGCTTCTGTTACTTTTCCTGACATGTATATGAAGTTCTGTGTTTGGAAACAATCCACAAAGATACATGCAAAGCTTAGCTTGTAATTGTCAAGCATGTGTTTATTTAATTCAACAGAAATGTGAAAAACAGCTGGATATTTTTGGGTGTTCTTTGGTTGTCTCACTTCTGAAGCCCTGAAGTTTCTATATCCATGGTGGGCAAGGGTTTAGGTGAAAAATAAATCTTACTAAATCTCAGACTCCAGGAAAAGGGGTTTTACTGAAACCACAAAATATTTCAAGTCTCTCTGTAAAGTCTATAAACTCTCCATAAAAATCCTTAACTGTTGGTAACACTGACTCAATACAATATGGTACAAGGAATATTTGTGCTTCTGAAATATTTTTCCTTTTGCCTCCAGGTGCAATAAACATTAATTTGTCCAAATATTCTCTCTTAAAAATAGCAGTTTTCATTCTGAATGAACTACCCATTCTGAAAACAAAGAGAACTTGAAAATTAGTTGTGCAGCAAAGAACTTTGCATCTGCTTACAAAGTGCCTCAAAAAGGTTTCCAAAACCTTTCTGAATATTAGATTCTTAAAGATGAAATAATGAGACTTGAATGAAATTAAAAGCCTCACAGCTTTAATAACATGTAAATAAAGTTTACACCATCTGTTATCTCAGAATGCCTATCCAGTAAAGTGCTTTCGAGATGAGTGCATTGCTGTTTCTATAGTAGCCCAATTGAGCTAATTCTGGGATGTGTGAAAGTACTTTACAAATGAGGCTGTATTGTACTTGCAGACATGAATACCACAAAATACAGGGACAAAATACATACGCCTGGCAGCAGGTGGGAATGGTGCATGAACACTTAAAATGCTTCTTTTGTTAGCAAACTACAGGGAGCTGCAATTGGGCAAATTTTAGAATGGTGCAGGTGTGTATTTTAACATAGAAACCATGAAGGGTTGCCACCTTTGTTCTGGCAAAATACAGGACAGGGTAGGGTGGATGATTTTTTTTTCTTCATGTGGTGCTGAAGTGACTTCAGAACAATCCATTACAATCTACTGCAGCCTATCAGGATGCCCCTCTTAAATTTGTCACATGCACACGCACACATACACATGAATTTGTAAATCTCAGGGGGAACTACCCTGAGACCTCCAGGTATAGGGTGGTATATAAATTCAATAAATAAAAAATAAATAAAAATAAAATCTGTCTGTTTTTGGCTACCTAGAACTTAAATACATGAACATGCATTTGGAGAGGGTCCCTAACTTGGCAGAGAGAGACCTGAAATACAGGACAAAACTATCAATACAGGACATAACATTTTACATTAAAATACGGAGCAATCCTGTATTATACAAGATAGGTGGCAACCCTAAACCATGGCACATCTCAGGTGCTCTCAGTAACTGTGTCACATAGCATAAATACAAGAGAAAAAAATATATTTATGGACTGGAGGTGGGGGAGCTAAGAACATAGCGTCTCTTTGTACCAGCCTTGCCAAGGATTGCACCCTTAGTTGCAATGAAAGCCACAATCCTATGTACCTTATTTGGAAGCCCTACTGAACTCCGTGGGTCTTACTCCAAAGTAAACAGGCATAGGCCCTGGCTGCTATTATCCACACTCCTAGTAGGGTAGACAAGCCACAAGAGACCACAGTTCCTTAATAGTTGTAATGTGCTTTTTTTTTTTTTTTAACGTCAGGTGTAGGTTGCATAACAATTTTGCATAACTATTTGGGAATAAGCCCCGCTGAGATCAAGGTTTAGTTTTGAATAAACAAGGTTAGGATTCCAAATTTGTCTTTGTCGGGATTATGCTGCGTTTTTCTGCTTGCAACGGATTTGTAAGGCAAGGTGCGGATCCATTAATGGAGCAAGTAAGAAGGCAGCTATTTTTATTTATTTAATCTGAAATTAACCCTTTGGCCAAACAACAGCTAGGAAGTTCATGGAGGTGGGCTTTTTGGGGTTTTGGTTTTGCACTACCAAACCTTCGTTTTTCAACGCCAATGCTTTGCCCTAACAAATTATAAATAAATATGAGTACTGTAGCTTCACTCTCCAACTTTTGCCCCACAATCACCACAAGAGGCGCTCGATGTAGCCGCTGGAACACGTAGAAAACGTAAAAAGGGCGGAGCATCCCGCTCGGGCCTCTTCTTCGCCCCGCCCATGCCGAAGGGCGGACACTCCGCGAGGAGGGGAAGGGCGGGGCCGCGGGCGGAGCTTCGTGAGGGCAAAGGGTTTGCCGCGTCCAATATGGCGCCCGCCATGGAGCTGAGCTGCTGGGGCGGTGATTGGGGGTTGCCGTCCGTGCACGCGGAGTGCCTCGTTGTCATGGTAACGGCGGGTTTGACGGGTTTGCGCGGGCGGGCGAAGGCCCAGATTCGGGTGTGAGGGGGGGACGGAGAGAGGCTTGTGAGGAGCCGCCACAATGGATTGCACCTGGGGAGGAAAGCCTCAAACATTTCCAGTGTTGAAGGGGGAAAGCTTTCACGTATATATATTTATGCATTTTTATTTTTATTTTGATATACAAAGGAGTTTCCATCCTGCTTTTTAAAGAGCCTTTCAAAAGTGGTGTATACATTCTGGAAATAAGCAATATCCGGCACTTAACTCTGGTATGAAATGTTGTGGATCAGAGAGCCCACTTCATGGGATGGATCCGACATGGTGTGGTGCTAGTACACGAGAGTTAATGTCACAGTAAAAAATTAATTCTGGAGGTGTATGTGCTTGCTGTAGCGGACTGTGGCTGCAGCAGTGTTGCACATTTACCCGTGAGTCACCCCACTGGACAGAGTGAGGCTTAACTTCTGAGTGAAAATGCATAGGATTGTGCTGTAATGCAGCTGTCTCTAGGACACACTACAATGTGCAATCGAGCACCCAAAAGATAATATAGAAATGTCCCATCAGAAAACCTTTATTGTCTATAAGGACAATTTCATTTAAATCCTGAAAATCTTTTTTTAAGCACTTGGGTTTCACATATCTTCATGAGTAGCAGGAATAGAAAATGAATATAGGTTGCGTCTCCTTTCAGAGTCCACTCTTACAGCAACACTTCAAGACAGGCATTTGTTATTTAAAAAGTAAAGTTCAGCACTTGTGACTACTGAGATGTTAACTTGTCACTTGTGCATATTGTCACAGACTTATTCTGTTCATCCACATCTTTTTAAAAGAGAAAGCAAGCTGATATGTATTAAAAATGGTAATTTGAGAATGGTCCATGGATATCTCCGATTGCTTTAAAGTTGTCTGTACTGTACGTCTTTTAAAAAATAGTGGCTCAGTTTGCATGTAGTACTAAGTTTTCGCACCTCACTGGGTCCTTCTGCCGCCACACTATCTAGAGCGAAATCATAGTTTTGCTGAGTATGAAGTGTGAACTTGGGCTTGTGGCATATATTAACAATATAGGTTGATCTCAGCCCAATTCCAGCTCTGTTTTTGTGCATGTAGTGGAATGTAACAGCTAGTGGTCACATCCAGTCAAATCAAAGAGAGTTTTACAGATAAATAGCTACATGTACCTTATATACCCATGAGCTGGAAAGGATTTCCTTGGGTGGAACTAGGTCAATGTATTTTAAAACTAGTAATGTTTTCCCATAATTCATGCTGAGAAACCTGTGACCTTCAAGATGTTATTGGATTCCAGTTCCCTTCAGCCCCAGCCAAATAGCCTATTCATCATAGATAACATAAGTTGAAATCCAACAACCCCAGGAGAGCCCCAATTTTTTCCCAGCACTGTCTTAGCTCCTCTTGGCCCCATAGCCAACTGACATCCCATTGAAGTCCATAGCAAATTGTCCATTAATTGTGACAGTTGAGTGTTGCATTTAATGTTGATTATGGCAGTGGCATAATATGACTGTGCACCCTGAGCTTTTGAGATGAGTCAGGTTATAAATCAAATAAGTAGCTTCTTTACCTAACATTTAGGTTGTCAAAATTCTGAAGAATAAAACATTGAGTTTAATTATTTTGTAACTTTCATTGCAGGCTTATGCCAGGTTTTGTGGTGCACCATTGAAAGTGAATGTTATAGATCATTTGTGGAGAGCACCAAGAGGTATTGCTTTAACATTTTACGTGTATATATTTGCATTTTAGGTCGCATCTTAAGCAGTGGTTACATCAGAAGCAGCTCCTGGGAAAGGGTGGTGCCACAGATCTGGCTTCACTGCTATGTACTGGGCTGGACAAGGGGCAGTGGCCAGGGTGGTGTGGGCACAGTGACAGTTCCAGTCCAGTGCTCCTGCCAGTGTGCCCAAACCAACCCTGACCCTCTGTCACACCATCTGGGGATGCAGCAGCCCTACCTCGCTGCATATTCTGGGTTACATGCATACATAAAGGGTAAAGGGACCCCTGACCATTAGGTCCAGTCGTAACCAACTCTGGGGTTGTGGCGCTCATATCGCTTCATTGGCCAAGGGAGCCGGCGTACAGCTTCCGGGTCATGTGGCCAGCATGACTAAGCCGCTTCTGGCGAACCAGAGCAGCGCACGGAAACGCCGTTTACCTTCCCACCGGAGCGGTACCTATTTATCTACTTGCACTTCGACGTGCTTTCGAACTGCTAGGTTGGCAGGAGCAGGGACCGAGCAACGGGAGCTCACCCCGTCACGGGGATTCGAACTGCCCTCCTTCTGATCAGCAAGCCCTAGGCTCTGTGGTTTAACCCACAGTGCCACCCGCATCCCTTACATACATACATACATAACTACGTACAAACAGGAAGATCCTCATCCCTAGCTTACAACCCAGTCTTACTTTCCGTTGTGCAAAGCCAAGAGTGGCTCATATCAGTTCAGGGTGAGCATTACATTCCAAGCTATGTGTTGCAACTATTGCAGCAAAAGACCTAGGATGTTTGAACGGAACAACTTAAGGGAGTGCAGTTGCACTGTGAAAGGCCTTTTATGAATCAAATGTGGGTGTAACGGAATGATACTGGATTATGAAGTAACAGTGCTTAGCGTCATCTGATCTTTGTCAGCAGGATGAAGGATCACCCCTAGCCTTCTTATGTTGAAGCTACAAAATAAGGCAATTTTTAATGAGTGGCAAAAGTGAAAGCTTATATGCACCAATCCTTTGTATTGAGCTGATCAGAATTCTTACATGAGCAAATTTAAACACCTTTTATGTTAGCATTAATAGGGTTGTTTTGATTGCATTATTTTGACTGATCATTTATTTTTAGGGAGTGTACCATTGCTGATATCGAATGACACCGTTATTTCTCAGCCAGCAAAAATACTAAACTTCTTAAGAAAGCAGGTGAGTTTCCATAAATAGTATCTCATATCTAGTAAGTTAAATCTTTAAAGATTAGCGAATCTCTAACTTTCATTTCAAAAGCTTTGTGAGATTTGAGGGTAAATTACTTGTGCTTTTGTTTGCTTCTTTATTTACAAAAAAGGAATAAAATGTGTCTTTCACTTGATTAAGGAATTTTTTTCCCCTTCCTTAATTTTAACATTAGAAATTCAGTTGCTGGCTAGCCTGGAAGTTTCACTGAAGACTGGAAAATCAAGGAAATGACAGCTGAAAAATCAGGATATTGAGGCAGAATTCTTAAAACTGTTTCCAAAGACTAAGGAACATTCTGGAGAGAGGACACCTTTGCTAGGGTTTGACTGCCACCTCTCCCTCTCCTGTTAAGGTATGAGAACAAACAAAATGTGTCCCAAGAAATCTATAGTCTACCAGTCAATTGAACTCCGCCAGCCAGACTCAATACTACTTGAACTCTTTGAGGGTTGGGGGTATTTTTACAATCAAGCAGTATATAAATAGTGTGAAATAAAATAATAAATAAAACTCACTGCAATCATTCTCTTCTACCATATGTGAGTACATGGAAATCAACCTGTAAAGTGGATCCCCACCTCAGCGAAGCAGAACTTTGTTGTGCCATTCAAGCCACAGCAGTGCCCGTACCCTCTATCATAGCCAGGCAGGAGCTAATGCTTTTTACAAAACAATCCCACAGGCTACTTGTCCTTTCGCCCTGAATATGGCAAAATTTCAGCTTCTGTTGACAGCACCCTGCATAGGCAAGCTCAGGAGCGCCCTATGCAATGCACAGAAAGGCTTCTGTGTAAGGTGAAATGCTTGGCTGATAGAGCTTTCAGGCATTGCTGCATCTTGACTGATGCTCCAACATCAGGGACAGGGAGGAAAAGGTTCTCCTTGGATCCTACAGAGAGCCATTCCACAAGATCTCTTGTCTATATATTCACTAGGAGATCAGGATTGTAGCTCATAAATTCACAACTCTTTCAGATTCTGTTTGTACAATAAAAGAGCCAAACAGGAGCACAAGTAAATTTTATATTTTAGGGGAATAGAGATGCATTTTTAAACTCCATTTTTCAGGATTCACCATGACTAAAAGCAGTTTAAATAGAAAGGGCATGCATACCTTAACTAAAGTGCAAGTTGATTTTGTTAAAATATCCCCATTAGTTTGACTTCAGGCAGATTGATCTTAGAATTAAGTGCCTCTGTAACTTCAGCAGTTAACACTATTATTAAACACTGAAACCATTAACTTGGAGGAAAAGTTAAGAGTTTAATTTTATTATTTATTGCTTTTCTGTTTTTTGAAACTGAATATATAATTCATTTTTTTACAGGAACCTTCAATTGTTGGCTTTATTTTCTCTTTGGAAAGTTTCATATGACTGCTTGCTGCATTAATGTATTGCCTTTTTCACTGGCAGAAATATAATGCTGATTATGAGTTGTCTACAAAAGAAGGAGCAGACACACTGGCGTACATTGCACTACTCGAAGAAAAATTACTTCCTGCTGTGGTAAGATACAGTTGTTGTTTGTGACCAAAGTTTTGCAGTGCCACCCACCAAAGTCAATAACATGCTTATTCAGCTCATTGAAATTAATGTGTCTTGAACTTCTTGTGTGTTCCCATGAGATGTCTTAGGAGTCAGTAATCACCATTAAAATCAGATATCTTTAAAATCAGCATTCATATTAAAGAGCTCAGTGACAATAGGAAGGCATCAGGAAGGCCACAGATTCCCCACCCCTGCTCTGTGGCTTTGTTCTCACAAACAGTAGACATGGTGGTAAACATCTGTCTGGGTTTTATTTCTTCCCTCTGTAGATGAAGACTTACATAACTAAATTTTTCCTATACAGAAATTCTTTCCACAAAGAAAACTAGAAATAGATAAGATGAGTTCTAGTGTGGTTTTAATGAAAGTTGTATGTGATAAGCTTCTATTGCTCATATAAAAAGCACAACAACCTAAAAACAAAGTTAAACTAATCGAGCAGATGCAATATACAATAGCTCATTACCATTTCTGGGTAAATCTTGCACTAGATACAAAATGGCAGGAGAAGAACAGCCACAGACTTTCTTAGACCTTGACTTACCCATAATGTGCTAGGTTTTTATGCGAAGTTTTCAGTCTGCTATTTGTAAGGACTAGGCCAGTAACGTCACAGAAGTTCAGGTAATGGATAGAGGAGACTTGCAACTCATAGCAAGTATGTGTGTTATTTAAACTAGTTACTTTTCCCTGTTCTGAAACACTGCTGACATGGTAGGAATAATTTAAATTTAATATAAATTGTTTCTTTAAAAATAATAAGCTTGGTATACTTTGACTTTTCTAATTACCTCTATAATAATAATAAATTTTATTTATATCCCGCCCTCCCCAGCCGAAGCCGGGCTCAGGGCGGCTAACAACAATAAAACAGTACAAAAGTACAACACAAACAACACTCTAAAATCATTCATTATAAAATTAATTCAATATAGTGCAGTCCTATTCATGTCTACTCAGAAGAAGGCCACATTGAGTTCATTGGGACTTATTTTCATGTAAAAGTGTAGAGACATGCACTCTTATCGAGATCTGTCCTATTCGTATTATTAATTAATTATTAAAAATGTGTTTTTATATCTGTAATAGTCTAATGTCTTAACTTTATTTCCACTCTGCTGAGAAAATCACTTGGTTTTTGAACACTGAGACAGGCTTATTAGATCCCCCAAAATCTATTGGTAAACAAAAACAGGTTTGGTTTTTTTAGTAACAGGGAAGCTGATGTTCATTATCGAATGTTAACATTCTTTGTTATCATGATATAGCTGCACACTTTCTGGGTTGAAGCTGATAATTACTACAATGTGACAAAACCATGGTTTGCGTCAAGGATTCCATTTCCACTGAGTTGGTATCTGCCTAGAAAGATGTCTGGGGAAGCCCTTAATAGAATCTTGCTGACAAAAGGAGGACCTCCGCTCTACAGTCTCACTGAAGTGGAAGCACAGGTATATTTTGCTTTGTGAGTAATTTAGGCCTATAATCGATGCAGATGTACTGGAATTGGACGCTAAATATGATGGTGCTTGTTTTAATACTTTTTGAGACAATAGATTTCTTCAAGGTAATGTTGGAAGGATCAGTGAAGTTTACTGGTCCCACAACTTCCTTGATCAACCAGTGATTCAAAAGAAGGTTCGGGAGAGGGCTTTCCTGATTCTACTTCATTTTAGTGGCCACCTGAAATTTCCCATGCCTTATGTTATTGTTCTGGTTAACAAATTTGTCAACCCATGCAGATGGAAAGAACTAGTGTTTTACATTCTTTCTGCCTGGCATCTCTTCACTCATGTTTTGGGGAGGGACTGGTGTGTTTTATGCCAGGTGGACTAATTCTGCCCTCTTCTGCTGTAGTGCTCTGATGGATTGAATATTAGTTTTATGTCATAATGAAGTTTTTTTTAAAACTGAATACATTGTCTTAATTGTATTTTGTAAACTACTCTGGATCTTAACCAACGAAGGGTGGCATAATAAGGAAAGAAAGGAAGGAAGGAAGGAAGAGATTTTGTTACTAGCTGAAGCTTTTGAACAGTTTTCAAAGACAAGCTCACATATTGCAGATTGCAGTAACTAATCCACAAGATGATCAAGGCATGGATAGCAAGCATAAGACCCTCATATTCCAGCAGGGTACAGGAATAACGTGGTCACATAGCAAACATGCTGGTGTTTGGAGGGAGACACTCTTGCAAACAAGTAAAAAAATAAGCCAGCATACAAAGGAGTGGCCGCAGGCAGGTTATGTATGTGTGTGGCCAAGGACACATAACAATTTCTCAAATATTGGGTTGTAGCCACTACATTTTACTCAGAGTACTCCCATTGAAATTACAGTTGTACCTTGGAAGTCATATGGAATCCGTTCTGGAAGTCCATTCGACTTCCAAAACGTTCAGAAACCAAATTGTGGCTTCTGATTGGCTGTAGGAAGCTCCTGCAGCCAATCAGAAGCTGCAGAAGCCCCACCGGACATTCGGGTTTCAAAAAAACGTTTGCAAACCGGAACAATCACTTCTGGGTTTGCGGCGTTCGGGAGCCAAAATGTCCGACTTCCGGGGCGTTCGGGATCCAAGATATGACTATAATGGACAATATTAATTTGGGTCCATTAATTTTCAGTGGATCTACTTTGAATAAAACATTGTTGGCTATAACTCATTATTTGGAGGTTATGTGTGTGCATATCTTTCAAACACTAAATTGAAGTAGTATGCTTTGGGTCTTTTTTAATCTGGGTTGTGCCACAGAGATTCTTAGCTATCCATCATCCATGTACTAAATTAATTTGAGATGAACTCCTAGAAAAGGTGGTATGCAAATAAACTTTGATGTTTGTTTGTTTGTTTGTTTGTTTGTTTGTTTGTTTGTTTTAGATCTACAGAGATGCCAAGGAATGCCTGAATCTTCTATCAAACAGACTGGGGACGTCTCCATTTTTCTTTGGAAACATGTGAGTACAGAATGTTTACAGTGTTTGCAACATATGTGGTGTGGTACTATTAATGCCAAAATACTTGTGTATGCTTTCCGGTTTTCTTTTTCCTTGTGAACGAAACATAGATTTTTGGTATGTATTCAAGTTTTAAAATCAGATGTCATTCTTCTAGTGCTTGTCAAACCACAGGGTGACCAATTAAATGTACTAGAGGCAAATAAAAATATGAACAAGAGCTCACCAGCAGTGAACTTGGCCTGCTTCTGGCTTTGCAAGTGAAATGACACATTTGCATGCTAGGGAATTGATTGCTGGCTCAGCCATCAGCCATCAGTCTTCCCTTGTGCCTCAGGCAGGCAGTATGATTTCTGTTCTTTTTTCTTTTTAATTAAAAGCACATCCCTGTTTGTTCGTTTATCTATTTATCATTTGTTGCTTTATTTTTTTAAAAAAAATCCATTTGAAGTTCATTTCCCCCCCCCCCCCATGTTGCCGGTGATATAGTGGCAGATTCGCAGTGCCAGCCAATCAGTCCTGTGCAAAGCTTGCCTCTGTTGCAGCCTTGAAGAATCAGGACTTTTTGGAGCTTGACCCTACAGAGGAATAGATAGGTTGCAGCTGAACAACCCAGCTTAACTGCCCTATACATGGTATGTCTTCGTTCCATTTGATCTGTTCCCTGCACAGTTGGTGACTGTTGTTTTTTTTAAAAAAAAACTTGGACAATGAAAACCAGACCATGCCTGCCCTATTTACAGATTTTTATTTCTAAGAGCACATTGGCACATTGTTTTGGGGGGAGTCTTATCCTCATTGGATATACTGTACTGCAGTCAACCTTCCTGCTCCACAGGATGCCCATTTTCGAATTGTGTCAGTCTGTGTACCACCTGCAGTTCAGACAGAAGAGAGGAGTCAGTCACCTCAAATGTTGTTGCGATTCTGACCTTTCATGCCAAACACTGTTTTCCTTCTAAGAACTCGTCTTATATTCTTTTTAAAAAATTACCACAGTGGTGGTCGTGGAAGCCACTTCAAGTGAGGCTCAATCAGTAATGCTGGCACAGGAAATAATTATGTGATTTGTCCTGCCTGTGTAGTTTTTGCATCAAAATGTTGCTGGAACAGCATGGAACTATTTGGCAGAAGAATGGGGTACAAATGCTCCAAATAAGCAAAAAATAAATAAAAATCTATCCCAATGCAGATGTTGGAGTAATCTGTGAACCAAATCTGAGTTTTGTTGATGGCATGTGATCACCAAATATTCTATTTATCAGCTCTTTTATATCTGTAGCAAGGGAGCAGCTGAAGCTATGACAGTGTTCAACATTAATGTCTCTAAACAGACTTGGGACATGACAGCAGCTGCTGTTTTGTAATTATATGTGCAGCCTGCAGGCAGTTGAATCTTGCTCATTGTCTAGTAAAATGGTATGCCATGAATATCTGTCTCTTTTATCCCATTAATGGAGATAGTTTATGACAAAATGCAATCTTATTAAACTGCTGTGAAACTAAGAGACTATACCATATGTTGAGTCAAACATGTTTTTTAATCTTCCATCATGGGTTTAATTCCACATTAGCACTCATGTTATTTTGCTAAATACGAGTGTCTTCAAACACAGCTACACTTTGCTTGATATTTTTCTCTGTTTAGAAAGTGACTTACAGAGTTTGAGATATCCGTATCCCATGTTTGTTACCCCTAGGCCTACAACTCTTGATGCCTTTGTGTTTGGTTTTCTTGCTCCTCTTTATAAAGTACCGTTCCCCAAAACCCAGCTACAAGATCATTTGAAGCAGCTTCCCAATTTATGTCACTTCTGTGATGACATTCTGATTTGCTACTTCAGATCAAACTTATCAGGTAAGCCATATGCTTCTCTTTCAGCATGTGTTATATTTTCATAAGAGAGTGTCTGGCGTGCTCTGGTCCATGGGGTCACGAAGAGTTGGACACGACTAAACAACAACAAAATACTTACATTTTGTTGCACTGAATCTGTACAGCTCTAGAAGACTTACCATTTTAAATTTTCTCTGTTGTAGAATGGAGGTAGCAGAAGATTTGGTTCGTGGTGGGGAGGTGAAATTGATTTTTCAGGCTTACCCATATGCACTTGGTTGGCCACTGTGAGAACAGGTTGCTGGACTAGATGGGCCATGGACCTGATCCAGCAGACCCTTCTTATGTTCTGTTCCCTGATGAAAATAAGGAAATGCTTTCTAAATGTAGTTTCAGTCCCTCCTAACTTTCTGTTTCTGTGTGCATTGCTTATTTAGGTGCCACTCCAGCAGGTCAAGACACAGTTGATGCAAATCTACAGAAACTCACACAGCTTGTAAACAAAGAATCCAACTTAATTGAAAAGGTCATTTTTATTTCAGTCTTTTTGTATTTTTCTGATCTTCTTGTTGATAACTAGGGACCAAATTAGGCATGACCATGGCAGTTCAATGTGTTTGGACCATTTCTGTCTAATCAAGTAGAAAGAGAGGATGGAAATCAGAAAAGGGACACATGAGTGAAGAGAATAAAACCTGTCCAGCTTTCCGATAGCTTGTCAACCCAAGTTCTTTCTCCCTCTGCCAAGCTGTGATGCTGAAGTTGCCCTTGGTTTAGCTTGAAGGAAAGCATTTGAGGAGCAGGGTTGCATTGGATGAAGGATAATTCTGCATTTCTCCCCATTAGGTTCCATTTGCTTTAAAGTCAGGGCCCCTCTTTCTAGTCACTGTCATGTAATTTTCAGATTAATTTTCGCAATTACATACATTAATGGACTTCAATGTCTGTACACTAATGCGCAAAGCATGGGAAATAAACAAGATGAGCTTGAGCTCTTGGTACAGCAAACTAAATATGACATAATAGGCATCACTGAAACCTGGTGGGATAAGTCCCACGATTGGAATGTAATAATGGAGGGATACAATCTATTTCAGAGAAACAGACCAGACAAGAAAGGAGGAGGAGTGGCGTTATATGTCAGGGATGTGTATACCTGTGAAGAGATCCAAGATTTAGAACCTCAAAGCCAAAGTGAGAGCATTTGGGTCAAAATTAAGGGAGAGAAGAATAACAGTGACCTCATTGTGGGAGTTTACTATAGATCCCCAAGCCAAACAGAGGACATAGATGATGCCTTCCTGGAACAGATGGCCAAGCATGCAAAAGGAAGGGAGATAGTAGTAATGGGGACTTCAATTACCCGGATATTTGTTGGATGTCAAACTCAGCCAAGAGCATAAGGTCAAACAGATTCCTCACTGGCCTTGCAGACAACTTCATTGTCCAGAAAGTGGGAGAAGCAACAAGAGGAACAGCCATTTTAGATCTGGTCCTAACCAATGTTGATGACCTGGTTAGTGGGGTTGAAGTGGAAGGATCATTAGGCGCGAGTGATCATGCTCTTCTGAAGTTTACTATACAGCGGAAAGGAGCAGCCAAGCATACTAGGACTCAATTTCTTGACTTTAAGAAAGCCGACTTCATAAAACTTAGGGAAGTGCTGGGTGAGATCCCATGGACAGTAATACTAAAAGGAAAGGGAGTTCATGATGACTGGGAGTTTGTTAAGAGGGAGATAGTAAAAGCACAACTTCAGGCAATACCAATGAGACGGAAACATGGAAGGTGCCTAAAGAAGCCAGGGTGGCTATCTAAAGAACTTTTAACTGCGTTAAGATTAAAAAAGGATGTGTACAAAAATGGAAAAGGGGGGAAACCACCAAAGAGGAATTCAAACAAATAGCCAGCACGTGTAGACACAAAGTCAGAAAAGCTAAAGCACAGAATGAACTCAGGCTTGCTAGAGAGGTTAAAAACAACAAAAAAGGCTTTTATGGGTATGTTCGTAGCAAAAGGAAGAACAAAGAAACAGTGGGGTCACTCAGAGGAGAAGATGGTGAAATGCAAACAGCGGACACAGAAAGGGCTGAACTCCTCAATGCCTTCTTTGCCTCAGTCTTCTCCGATAAAGAAAACAATGCCCGACCTGAAGAATTTGGAGCAAATGATTCAGCAGAGGAAACACAGCCCAGAATAACTAAGGAGATAGTACAAGAATACTTGGCTAGTTTAGATGTATTCAAGTCTCCAGGGCCAGATGAACTGCATCCAAGAGTATTAAAAGAACTGGCAGATGTGATCTCAGAACCACTGGCAGTCATCTTTGAGAATTCCTGGAGAACAGGCGAAGTCCCGGCAGACTGGAGGAGGGCAAATGTTGTCCCTATTTTCAAAAAGGGGAAAGAGAGGACCCAAATAATTACCGCCCAGTCAGTCTGACATCAATACCAGGGAAGATTCTGGAGCAGATCATTAAGCAAACAGTCTGTGAGCACCTAGAAAGGAATGCTGTGATCACCAATAGTCAGCATGGATTTCTGAAAAATAAGTCATGTCAGACTAACCTGATCTCGTTTTTGACAGAATTACAAGCCTGGTAGATGAAGGGAACGCAGTGGATGTAGCCTACCTTGATTTCAGCAAGGCATTTGACAAGGTGCCCCATGATATTCTTGTAAAGAAGCTGGTAAAATGCGGTCTTGACTATGCTACCACTCAGTGGATTTGTAACTGGCTGACTGACCGAACCCAAAGGGTGCTCATCAATGGTTCCTCTTCATCCTGGAGAAGAGTGACTAGTGGGGTGCCACAGGGTTCTGTCTTGGGCCCAGTCTTATTCAACATCTTTATCAACGACTTGGATGATGGACTCAAGGGCATCCTGATCAAATTTGCAGATGACACCAAACTGGGAGGGGTGGCTAACACCCCAGAGGACAGGATCACACTTCAAAACGACCTTGACAGATTAGAGAACTGGGCAAAAACAAACAAGATGAATTTTAACAGGGAGAAATGTAAAGTATTGCACTTGGGCAAAAAAATGAGAGGCACAAATACAAGATGGGTGACACCTGGCTTGAGAGCAGTACATGTGAAAAGGATCTAGGAGTCTTGGTTGACCACAAACTTGACATGAGCCAACAGTGTGACGCGGCAGCTAAAAAAGCCAATGCAATTCTGGGCTGCATCAGTAGGAGTATAGCATCTAGATCAAGGGAAGTAATAGTGCCACTGTATTCTGCTCTGGTCAGACCTCACCTGGAGTACTGTGTCCAGTTCTGGGCACCACAGTTCAAGAAGGACACTGACAAACTGGAACGTGTCCAGAGGAGGGCAACCAAAATGGTCAAAGGCCTGGAAACGATGCCTTATGAGGAACGGCTAAGGGAGCTGGGCATGTTTAGCCTGGAGAAGAGGAGGTTAAGGGGTGATATGATAGCCATGTTCAAATATATAAAAGGATGTCACATAGAGGAGGGAGAACGGTTGTTTTCTGTTGCTCCAGAGAAGCGGACACGGAGCAATGGATCCAAACTACAAGAAAGAAGATTCCACCTAAACATTAGGAAGAACTTCCTGACAGTAAGAGCTGTTCGACAGTGGAATTTGCTGCCAAGGAGTGTGGTGGAGTTTCCTCCTTTGGAGGTCTTTAAGCAGAGGCTTGACAACCATATGTCAGGAGTGCTCTGATGGTGTTTCCTGCTTGGCAGGGGGTTGGACTCGATAGCCCTTGTGGTCTCTTCCAACTCTATGATTCTATACTCTGAAATACTTGTTTCAGAGTATGCATATTATATTGCATACCTTAGAAAATTCATTTTTTTCAAAAGTGAGCTAGACAGCAGAACGCAAGTCACTTATATTTACTTCAGTAGGAGTATCAAGAATGAACCCTGGGTTTCAACACTCATGTACAGAGTTGGAACATGGAATCTATTACCAGGCGCAAAAGGACATTGGCACTCATCACATCAGTTCACAATGTGCTTTTTGAATGTGACCACCTACAATAATCTGACAAAATCCTGTAAATTAAAATAATGTGGCTGCATTTTGTTTTGATTGTTTCAGGTTCTATTGCTTCCATCAGAAATTAATTCATTTGCATTCCTACATCAATTGCTTCTGAAGTGCCTTGTTTTCTTGAATGCATTTTTCTCAGCTGTAACAACTAGTGTGGTGGGGCATGGTGTTACTGCAGCTTACCTGGACGGGCTGGGGTGGGGCATTGTGGCAGTGAGGTCAGGACTGAGCAAGTGCATCAGAAAGAGTGCTGGATTGGTTCCACTTGTGCGTCCACACAGCCCCAACTCTGCCTCTGCTCTGCGCTACCCCAGCCCTGTTCAAGTAAATGCAGTGACACCAGTGTCAGGAGGACTGCTCCATCCTGCTCCACCAGCCACTATTGTCTTAACAGTCCTTGCCTAATGGACTGTTTTTAGATGGTTGCCATCTTCACATAATGTTGGAAAATACTGGCAACTCATTATTGCTGTAATTTTACTTATAATCTGTGTTCAGATTAAACTCATTTTCTAAAGCTAGATAACCTTAACAAACATCCTTGCTAGATTTTGCCAGGAGTGTTGAAGAAGTTATTTTGAAGTGTTATCCTAGAGTCATGTGAGATCTTCTTTTCAATGAGTGGCTTCTGTGCAGCTTGAGTAGCATTTAAATGTTCCAGTCATACAGGTGGGGGCCAGTTTTGTGCGTCTCACCCATGGAAGTGGCATTGTGTTGGAAGAAGGGAAGGCAGTTCCTATGAGAAAGACCCATGCACTGGACCCTTCCCATGTGATTAAGTCAGTTAAACATCATGCAAGTTGTGTCTCCGCCTTTAAAAAAATGCATCTGCTATATATCCACAGTAACATTTAAGGGGTCCTGACTCTTGTTTATGTACGTATGATAGGTCAAGTAGTACACAATATGATAAATACATTTATGGATAAGTGAGAATTAGGCTTGCTAAGTGCAGTATGAAAGCTAAAATGTCAAGGAATGATGAATCACATCCATGAGGAGTTCTATTGAACATTCACATTGGTCTGGTCTCCTTGATCTCAGTTAGACTGCACTAGTGCATATCTAGAAAACAGCTTTGTAGAGTACATTTTTGAATCTTACTATATGAAGATTTTTATATAGATATCTTCTTTAGATATATGAATTGCTGTTTATGTTGTTTCTGCAGATGGATGATAACCTTCGTAAGAGTCCTCAGCACCCTCCGCGTAAGCTGACAACTCTCAAACTTTCTACAGGTGGGGAAGGAAATAGCTCACCAAACCGCTTATCACCCTGAGAGTTTTAGTTGTCATATTTATGTGTGTGATTAGAAACTGACATCAAATCCGAACAATTTTTGCACTAATTCTGTAGGTACATGAAGCGAGGTAAAAATGTGAATTGGCAAATAGGCACAAGCACATTCATTTAACCAATGCTATCTATAGTCACATAAGGAACCAGTTAAGGTCTAAGTTAAGCACAGACAGAATTGTTGAGTAATTGTACAATGCCGTATGAGGTCACCATAAGTGTTGCATAATGCTCGCCTTTTAGGGTTAGTTGACCAAAAGCTAAGATTCCACTTTGGAATATGCAAACGCATCACCATTTTCTGCTAGATGCTTTTGATTTTGGCTGCAATCATGTTATAGCTCAACTTGGTTGTTGTATCTGGAGTAGCTACTTAAGAATTTGTATAGATTTCCAATGTGGTTCAAATACAGAGAGAAAATTAAAATGTCGGTCTTTTTGTGACAGGTAAGCAATTAGAAGGTATTTGCCATTTTGTTTTGTTTTTTCAAGTAATGATCAGTGTATTTTGGCCATTTTTAAATGACTATAGAGTAGAAAAACTAAACTGATCACTTGGGAACATTAATTAGAATTTTTTTCAGATTTGGTCTTAATCAGGAAAAGGATAAGCTTGACCAACTTCTGTGATAGTATGCCTATGTTCAAAATGTCAGTACACGGATTGACAGTATCAATCAATGCATGTAAGAGGTCAAGTTAGAAACCCTGTTGCAGGCCAAGACTGAATATGTAGTATTGACATTGTCTCAATTTACTTTGTCTGCCCCTGCAGATTTATTAGCTTCTTGTTTTTATATATTTATCCAGTATCAAACCCCCAAATAATCTAGATTTTCTCCTAGATTAGTAACTTTCATTGTTGGGTATAAAGAGATATTGCCCTGGCATAAAGCTCAAACTAAACTGCCCAGTGCACTGAAACAACAGAGACACCCCACCATTTGTTACCGATGCATACTGACACTGTAGTAGGTAAGCAAGCAAGCAAGCACACACACTGTACATACACTGGAACTTCTACATGGAGAAGCCCTAGATCAGGCCAGTAGCAGCAGAGGTGGCACTTTTGGGGCAATGTGGCTTTTCTAGCTACCCAACACAGCTGGCCACTGGCTTGCTGAGAAGGGAGGGGGAGGCACAGGGAGCCTGGCCCAGTACGTGGGAGTGGGAATGTCATTGACTCCACTATCGCATGCTACACTGTACCAAGCTACCTGCAACTCACCCCTCCCCTCTCCCTCTTGGAAAGCACCAGAGACCGGCTATGCTGGGAAGCCAGGTGAGCAATGGTGCCCCACTACACCAATTGTTACTAGATCAGGCTGGCAATTTTTTATGGTGATAGTAATTGTAATTTCAAATTATGAGCAGCTGCTATCAACTGGTCCAAAAGTTCCATTAATAAATCAAGGTTTGCAACTATTGGACTGGGGGTGAGTGCCTAAAAAAACAGGTGGTTTGGGAGTATTTTACAGCAAGGTGTGCATTCTGAAAACAGCGTTGACCTCTGTGCTATTGCAGGGGCCTCTGTGGTGTGGGGTACTTGCCAGGTTCGAAGCAGGTCTTTATGCACTGCTTCCAGGTGCCACAAAGTGGCAACACACCGCAAAAGCCTGTTTGAGGTCTCAGCACGCTAGATGAAATATAGGCTGTGCAAAACTGGGTTAAGGGCCATGGGCCATCACTTGCCGTCCCCTATTCTAAGGACTGACTTGAAATTTCCAATATATCAACAATATTTTTGAAAAGCTACTTGGCCAAAATGGCAACTGCCATTAACCAATGTATCTTATGGTATCTGATTCCCAAGAAACAGTTTTCATATGTATGTAAGATAGTTTTCTTTTCATCTGACTTCATTTTGCCAAGTCAAACAAATCTGATATTTTTCTCTAAATTACCTCCAGTATTCTGTATATGTAGACAAATAGCTGTACAAACAAACCTGTAAATAATGTATATACATGTATTTGCAGAGTATTTATAAACCTAAGGAATGTAAAGATCCTTAATGTATCTTGTTGTTTATAACAATAATTTTGGATGTCTAACAAGAATAAATTTAAGTTTCATGTTACTTCCTGAATGTTTGCTTTGGTTATTTAAAGCTGGAGATGTCACACACCAAATCAGGATAATCATAAGGATATATGTTAAAGCAAAAACTATTTGTGTCTAATCTTGCAAGGGACATCAAATGAGATAATATTACTTGGTTTATACAAAACTTTCATAACACAAACATGGTTTTGTCTGCTTTGTAAGCATTTGTGACTGATCAAGAAAATTGTGTATTTGTATTGCTGCAGTCCTAGGAATATTTACCTGCAGGGCAAGTGTCTTGAAAGCGTGATTTGCTTCCAAGTTAAACACACATAGGATCAGACTGCACAAATGGTGCACTCTTTTGTGCCAATGAAAAAGTCACCACGCCATTTTATATGTTTCATATTTGGAGCAGTGTTTCCTATAGGAGAGCTGGCCCTTAAAGACTGTGATGGAGAGAAAAGTAAAATGATTGCTCACATTCCCTAGAACGTAACATTTTACTGCAAAGTATTGTTCTAGTCTAATACAATAGAAAATACGTGTTGCATTTCTTTTTAGAAAAAAGTAATCTCATTTGTGGGAGAATACAGGAAGTTCAGTTATGAGGGAGATGCATTGTGAAGTATAGTTTCTATTTTTGGGTGTCCTGGTTGAAAGAGCAAAATCTGTGGATGACCACCAAGGAAGAGACATGTAGATTTTAGCAGAAAATCAGGACCAGTTCAGAGGTAGGTCATAGATTAATAAAATGTGTTTCTGTTACAAAGAAATGTCATGTTTTATTTAGTAGGAAATGCTGTAGCACAAGGGTTCCCAGACTGTGGTGGTCCACAGACCACCAGTGACCTTCCAGCTTTATTCTGATGGTCCACAGCATGTCTGTAAAAGTACAATTGAAACCCTTATAGCATCCAGAGCACAGCATATTTTCTGCAGGGGCTCCACATTTGTGGAGTGTTCTCCTGGTGCCTTCACTATACAGTGGTACCTCAGGTTAAGTACTTAATTCGTTCTGGAGGTCTGTTCTTAACCTGAAACTGTTCTTAACCTGAAGCACCACTTTAGTTAATGGGGTCTCCCACTGCTGCCGCATCGCCAGCATGTGATTTCTTTTCTCATCCTGAAGCAAAGTTCTTAACCTGAGGTCCTATTTCTGGGTTAGCGGAGTCTGTAACCTGAATTGTATGTAACCCAAGGTACAACTGTACACCTTTAGCTGCCAGGCGAAAATGTTCCTCTTCATAGAATCGTAGAACCATAGAATTGTAAAGTTGTAAGAGGTCACAAGGGTCATCTAGTACAACCAACCCCCTGCAGTGCAGGAATCTTTTGCCTAATGTGGGGCTCAACTCTGAGATTAAGAGGCTCATGCTCTACCAACTGAGCTATCCCTCCCAGCGACCAGGCCTTTGGCGGATTAACATCCTTAAAAAAAAACATTTTATTTATAGGTTTTCAGTTGTACGCTCATATCATTTCCCATTCGTATACACTTTAATTCTTTTGGACTTCCCACCCAACAGCCCATGACAGTTCTTTGTACATCTTAATTAGCTGCGTATACAATAATACCTTCACCTTATTTGGCTAGTTAACATCCTATACCCTTTGTTCATGGGAAGGGAAGGAAAAGAAAGGGAAGGGTGGGTTGGTTGGTTCTTGTTTTTATTATGTATTTTGTGTTTTTATATTGTATTTTTGTGTTGTAAACCACCCCGAGATTTATGCATGAAGGGTGGTATACAGATTTAACAAATAAAATAAAAATAAATTACAATTGCTACAACAGGCAGAAAAATTATTAAGACTTTTGTCTCTGGCTTTGCCCATCATTGGATGGTTGCCCCCAGAGGCTGCCCATTTGTTGCTTAATTGATGCAGAATCTGGGCATGCACTTAGTTGAGAGGAAGGACTTATGAGCAAAAAACCATGGCTGCTTAAGGCACTTTTATGATAACCTACTTGACTGAAGCCAGCATACATTCCTACTTCTGTTCCTTAATCTTTCACTAGTTTGCTTAGTAAAATAGCCTAGCTATTAAGCCTGATGGTTTCATTGGGTGGGGCGGGGTGGTGAAATGTGGTTTAGACATAGGCAGGGAAATATTTTTACCTTGATATATAAAAATAGAATTCCTAAGCATCTTCAAGGGCAAGCTTTAATTCTGTTGCTTTTTTCAAGAAAGAAAATTGGGAAGGAGCATGTGAGCTTGCATTCTTACAAAGTTGCAGCATACTCACTAGAATTTAATTGCTTTAAAAATATTGTTGAAGTTGCTTATAGTTAAAGTGGTTTTCCAGATATATTAAAGGTATGTATCTTCAGTTACCCCATTTTTATTGCTTTTGGCAGTCCAGAGAGAACTACTTACATGTTATTTCTGTAACCCTTTACTGAATATGTGAGCTTTCACAGTTATGCTTTTAAAGACCTTTTTGGTACAAAATAAATGCAACATGTGATGTGACATACTGCAAGCAATGTGACATACTGAATTCCTGCTATCCAAGTTGTCGATCCTCTCTTGTTATTGGTCTCAGTTCAGCTGAATACTTCCAATTTTAAAGGACCATAATGTTTTTTGGACTGTTACCTAACTATTTGATTAGGATGTTTTTTTTAAAAATTAATTGTTCCAATTTTCACAGTCAAATCTTCCTGATAGTGTCATATGGAGCCACTTTTTGGGCTCAAGACAGAATTCATGGGTACTTGCTTCTAAGTAAATATACATATGGAGGAGGCTACAAGGATACCTCCAATAAATCACATAGTTTAGCTGCACATATATTTTTATTTATTTGCATCAGAATTCTTTAATAATTCTGCTATCAATTTGTTTGAGGGCTTTAAAACCTGAAAGGAACTGGAGAAAAAATTAGCTCTAAAAAAAGCTTTTGGGGGTCAGGGTGCAGATTTTGCAAAGTTTACTTATGTCACTATGATAATTTCCTTACACTTCTGAACCATAGTCAGGCTTCTGGCTCTAAAGTGCTGAACATTTCTGAGGGCAAGATGTTGCTTTATGACCGCATCGCTGCCAGGGTTGAGAGAAAACAGATGTGGCATCTGAAAAGTTTATTTTTGCAGAGATGCTCGGCATTTTCGGATATAAACTCCCATAGTTTCTACTTTTAAAAGAGCCTTCTTCTGCCATGCCTTTAGGCAACCATTTTAGGAGCCAGGGCTTTGAAAAATACTGTAAATGGCACACATTCTAAGAAGCAACAAAAGCTGTTGTGCAGTTTAACTTCATATTTCCATAACCCCCTCCATTTAAATGGTCTACGCCAGACAGGTTTTATTCATCCTGCTGTGGTTATGTACCTATTAATTTCATGTTCCCCTCCTTCCGATCTTCTAAACTGCATTCTTTTCTACATTGTGGTATCTGAGGACAGGTAGTTGTGTAGTATTACTGCTTTTTTGAGATGAGAAGTATATATGGGTGGTAAGGGAGGTGCATGCTGAATTTCTGCCTTTTGGCAACTGTGTATTTTCAGTTTGTCGCAAAGTGGGAGCCATGACATACTGTATTTTTTGCACCCTAACACTCACTTTTTTCCTCCTAGAAAGTAAGGGGAAATATCTGTGCGTGTTATGGAGGGAATGCCTACGGGTGGCATGCCTACGGATTTTCCTCCTCTAAAAAATACGTGCGTGTTATGGTCGGGTGCGTGTTATAGAGCAAAACATACGGTACCAGCTTTTCAACATTGCCCAGTTATCGTGCCAAATGCTTGCCTCTACAGGCCTTTAGTATGACAAAGAGTGACAATCCTTTCTCGGCTCATGTCTCCAATGTAAAACAAAACAAGAAAATCAATTAAACTCCCTGTAATGTTCAGTGAAGAAAGTCAGGATATGTTCAGGACTAACGGCATGACGTCCTGATGACAATGGTACCTCTTCTCCAATGGTAAATGACAGCTTCAAGAGGGGGATTTTTGTCAAGACTGCAATGCAGAAAGAGTTAAACTCCCCCCCCCCCACACACACACACCACAGTCCTAGACCTGAACATCCACCTCAGCTGCTGCTTTGAAATAAAGAAAAGACCCGTAAGGGGAAACTAAAAACCATCACATACTTTGGGCCTTTGTGACTTCAATATCCTAATACAGTCGTGCCTTGATTTCTGAACAGCTTAGTTCTCAAATGTTTCGGCTCCCGAACGTTGCAAACCCAGAAGTGAGTGTTCCGGTTTACGAACTTTTTGGAAGCCGAACATCCAACAGGGCTTCTTCGGCTTCTGATTGGAAGCCGCGCTTTGGTTTTCGAATGTTTTGGAAGTCAAACAGACTTTTGGAACAGATTCTGTTTGACTTCCAAGGTAATGACTTTATGCCAGGGAATATTAGAAGACAAGAATATCCTATTTAGGTGAACAAAACCTTGACGCATCAGCTTTTTTTGGTAGGGGAGCTCAGTTTCTGCTTCCAAAATCTCCCACATAGCAACGTGTTAGGGAGGCAGAACAGTGCCCAGAGTGGGATGGTTTTGAAGGAAGTGGGACAATTAGGAACATAGGAAACTGCCTTGTACCATGTCAGACCATTAGTCTATTTAGCTCAGTATTATCTGCCTTGACTGACAGCTGCGTTGTAAGCTTTCAGACAGGGGGCACTGCCAGGTCCGCCTGGAGATGCTGTGGATTGTGAACCTGGTAATGGGGTAGGAGAGCTGAAAATAATGACAATACATTTCACATCTGGCAACCAATGCACCTCTTTGGTTTCAAATAGTACATGGGTAGACGAGTCTAAAAAGACTAGGGCACAATTTTTCACTGCCCTTGAGTGGCTATGGTGGCTCATTTACCAGAAGTTATATATTTAGCGTTAACTCCTACAGCAAAAGCATCCAAGGAGGCTTAGTTTGGTCAGAACCAAGTATACGGTTTCAGAGTTGATGCTAAATACATTACTTCTGATAAATGAGCCACCATAGCCCGTAAAGGGCCATGAAAATTGGTGTCCCAAGCTTTTTAGACTTGCTTATCCATGTACTATCTGAAACTCAAG